TTTAAAACTTTCAAAACTCTACTTCTCCTACACTTTTTGTCTGATTTCAGTATAACTTGACATACAAGTAGATTACATGAGATACATAATTGTCGTTATTGTTTTTTGATTTTGTTGAATGATGTTGCCATGGTTACTTAAATCGAAATTTCTGTAAACTTGTTTAAAAAGGCTACTCCTCCTACAGTTTTAGTCTGATTGCAATAAATCTTGCCACAAAAAGAGACTTAACCAAGGATCATAATTCTATTTATTGCTGTTGAAAAGTTTCAAGTCAAAGTGCTCCTTTTATCTTTTTTTATAAGTACAACCAGTAGAGCTACAGTCTCGTCAGAGACTTCTGGTTTAAAATATATATTAATAACATTTTGGTATATGTTATATGTTATTTATCAAGAGAGTTTACGTCGATTAATACAAATTTAAATTCATTTTACATTTAAGCATTAACTAGGTGACAAAATGTCAGTTTGCCTGAACCGCCACTTTTCGAAGAATTATTGTTATTAACTTTAACTCGAGTGACATATTAGACATTCCAACAACAGATGAAGCTTGTTGAATAAAGTATGTTCGTTTGAGGGCTGACAACCGAAATGGAGAATATATATCTTTAACATACTTGTGATCCTGAGTTTGTGGTGGAACAAAACATTTTAAAAAAATCCATTGATTACAATCCCATCAAAACTTCTCCAGCTTTCTTTAATAATAATGTAAATAGTATGTGATATCATCGCAAGATATCACAGATTAAGCTCAATTTAATCTCAAGCTAATAAGCATTGGTATGATAAGCGAGCATGAAGAAATTTGATTTCTAAAAAAAAAAAAACCCCAAAAACATGCAGTTATATAGGGAGCTCATGTCAAAACTTTATAATATCGTTTCAAAGACTTTAAACTAACTTGGATTATATTTAAGGAGAATGAAATGAAAAAAATGTTGCATGAAAAGATTTCATTTTCAAATTTATTCAAATAAAAGATAATTTCTAATATATTTTGTCCATGAATGTTCTCGCAGTTAGTATGGGCAGTTTTAATGAAACTTCACAGAAATGATAATAATCACTCTAATTGTGCTTTCAACATTTTAAAATTTTCTAAATGTCCATCGTTCCGAATTTTTTTTCAACTGCAGGCCCATAGCAACGGTTTCAAAAGGGGGGAGGAGGGAGCCTCCCCAAAAAATCTCACAAGCAAAAAAAAAAAAAAAAAAAACAAAACTTGTTTACTGTCCATATCCTGGAATTTGCCAATGCTCGACCTTACAGCGAAAAAAGTGGGGGACCAGTCATCATCTAAAGGTAAATTTACTATAGCAAAATACAATACCCAGAAAAAGCTAACCAGCCCCCACCCCCACCCCGCATTTTACGGACCTGCCTGAACTGCTGAAGAATCAGATGGACAAAGTGTTGACATGTTCTATGGTTGAGATGCTAATAGTCCTACGGACTTGATTTAACGATAGAATCTGTTCCGTATGTGGGCAGTATTGCAAACTTGAAGAATTCTAATGTTCACGCATTGTACTTTGAACAATTCAGAGAGTTCCGAATATCAGTTGACATGGGGATAAAATTGATGCGAGTAAAAACGTTGAAAAAATCATTTTAAATGTGTTCAATTTTTCCTTTATATGGATTAATTTTTTTTGGTGGAAGATACTTGAAGGTTAGAATGAGTTTTGTGGATATTTTCAATGCAACTTCATTTGAAAATCGTGCCAGAGCGGATCCGCTACGTTTTTCTACATTGCAACTACATAGGACGTATTCCAACTGTTCTGAGGACCTGTTCCTTGACGCGGTTAGCTCATTCTAACTAAAATGGGTTATCTAGTAAGTGTTTTTGTAATCTTTTGAGAGGTAGAAAAGTTGCTGTCATATGACCTTTGTGTATTGACGTTGTTCTGGTAAGTAAGTGTACTCACTTTGTGCGTATATCCTGCTTTTTATGTTACGTACAGATGATGGTATTCTGCTTAATACTGATCAGGCTATCTGCTTCTGACTTTTGGGATCAGGCACCTAATCTAAACTCTGTTTGTTGCCTCACTGCTATCTGCTACTGTTGAGTGTTAAGTCCGCCATTGACATCATTAGTGGTTTCCTACTATCACTGGGTGTTTCTTTAAAACCACGACATCCTACAGTTGGTGGGTCCATAGTGAAGATCTTCTCACTGCATACCATGCTGTTTCCACTCATTGATGTCTCTTATAGCTACCAAATCCAGCACAAAGCTGTCTTTGCCTCCTCGCCTAAGATTTTGACAACTTTTTTTTTTCTATTTCTGCCTCTAATTCCAAAGGTTGTAGTCATTCTCCATATAGATTACGCAGGAAATCAACGACATCAAACGTCTATAGGATCGAATAGCCATGTCTTCCATCCTCTCTGGTCATTTTGGTTCCCAGTAATTGGCACACTTCCTCTCGGACAATGTCGCAATCTTCTTCTTTCGGCATCATTAGCTCGAAGATGATGATCCTCTTGTTTGTAGACCAAAAAACTAGGTCCGGCCGCTGTCTTCTTTTGACCACATCAGAAAATACGTGTTTCCGCCCCCGAGATCAACTTGCATCTGCCAAGGCGACCCATTTAACAGACTGCTGTTCCTCTGCTTGCAGTATAGCTTGACTAGCACTCCACTTTCGCCCTGTTCTTGTCTGCACTCCTCTGACTTTCGCATCCTGGGAGTCTCTCAGTGTCATAACCAACCTTGAACTCTTCAATCAGTGATGAAAATGGTATCTGAAGCTTCACTGGAATGGAAGTAAAATTGGGTGGAACTCCAAGCTATCGATGAAGATATCCATTAACCAGTCTATACATATATAGCTCTGCTGTTGATGCTGGAATTTCATTTGATGTTTATATTCCATCCTTGCCCAAGTTATTGCTTCTTCCAGGGCCTTTAAGATCCATCTTGCTTGCACGTGGGTGGTTGTGGTAGCAGCCTGACCATCCATAAATCCTCTGTTTGCTGATATATAAATGTCTGTCTTGGGCCTCTTGTCTCTCTCAGCTGCACTGATTATAAGCATCACTAATTATAACATACATGGCAAGATAGTTGTGCATCCTTTTTCTATTCTTTTCATGTAGTTGTGTGGTCACTGAAAGTAAACAGCAGCTTGATATCACTAAATTAGTCGTTAATTAGATTGATTGTTTGGGGTGGAAGATAGTAACTTAGCATGGCCTTTTTGATGACCTCATGTGGGACAGTCTCTTTAAGTTGTCCCTCATTTGTTGCTTGTCGGTGCATTCTTGATAGTTCCTAGCTTATTTATTATATATAAAACCCTGGGGCAATTTAAACGTTATTTGTGAAAGTTGAAACTGTCAAGCGTTAGCGGTTTTGAATAATGAGCAATCAAATTGGTTGGTAACATTTCTCTTGATTTAGAATATCGCAGTTTCATTAATAACTTCACTGAAATTCATTTGGACTGATAACTTTGGTAAAGGCATGCTGAGATTACACGGTATCAATTACAAATCTGAATTTGGAGTGCAGGAAAACATTTTACAATGTCAGTGACCAGTCATCACCAAGAATATTATCATTTCTTTTCATAATAAACAATATTGCTTTCTGATTTTCTTTCGATTTGTCTGACTTGTCGCTAAGTAAGTAATGATTGTGTAGGTAGGTAAAAAATGTAACATTGAATCTTTCGGTTTTAAAATAGTACCTGCTTACGTACTCTGCTTATACTCCAATATTGCAGCATTCAGGTCAGTCCGGGTGATGTGCTCTATTGCTTGCGATACCAGACTTCCTGGTTATTAAGCATGTTATGAATCAAGGGTAGATTATTTCAAGGTAAAGCCGCAGACTTCTGTGTGAAACTAGGGAAAAAACAATTCCGCGCTCTTACGTGGAAACACTCAAAGTTGTCATTCTTAGAGAAATTCTTGTTACAATCTTCTCGAAGGTGCCAGTTTTTGTGCTTTAAACTCATCATTCCGTAAATCAGAATCGACACTTGAATCCAAAAAATGGCATTTTAATAACACATTTAACACCAAAGAATTGCCTGTGTATGAATTGTAGTGGATAAGAGCATTTCATTGTGAATTTAGTGCTGGGTGACTGTAGCTCTCTAAAGAACGATTTTATAATGGTTATGCACTTTTTTTCAATGCGACACACCCTTTCAAACTTTCATGTCTTTGGGATTTTAACTTTTTGCACTATTTTTCCTATTTCAATCTGAAACGTGCTCTCTAATTGTTGGCAAAATATATGGCCACTCAGACAATCGAAAGCGTGCTTTGTCTCTATATGAAACATCGTAAGAAAAAAGGACAATTTCTTTATTCAAAAAAGAAGAGGACTGATTTTAAGAATATCAAATTTGAGACTGATCCTGTTTTTCGTAGGGTCAGTTGTCCAATATTTTCTAGCTGAAAGCCTTACTTCCACAGTTCTCTAAAATGGCAGAAACTAAATGAGCTCTCTAATTCAATTTTGATGAAATTCAAGAAAGTCATTCATATACGAAAATTGGTAATTACATGAACAACATCTGAATAATGGAATATAATGGGATGAAGGCAGGTCCATTGTCGCATAATTACCGGTATTTCTGTTCAAAGTTCCAACTGACAACTCAAGTAGTATTGGTTCCCGATATCCTTCCGTAGTCAGGCGGTCAGTTCTTAAGGTGACACACTACCAATCCTTCGGGACAGAATAACAGCTGAAATTTCGCAAATTTTGTTGAAGGCAAAATATTTGCAAAGAAACATTGGATAAAGGAGTAGGTATTTTTAAGATAGAGCAAAACTAGATGAAAGAGCTTTTTTGTTTTTAAGAAACACCTGTTAATGCTATTTGGAAAATAGTAAAATCGTTTAGTTATTTGAAATATTGTCTGTTTCTAAGACTGATAAAATGTTTTTCTGGGATTATCAGGTTTTAATTAGCGGATTAATCGGTGCATGTCGGGATTATTTTCCTAGCAATAAGCCTGAGTGCTGACGTGTAGGGGGGAGCATGCACCTGATTACTAAAGCCACTGATTTCGTGCTTTCTTACTTGTTTGTATTTTTGCTCGTTATAACTACTGGTTTGGTACTTTAGTTTGTCCGGTGGCTCGGCATTGTCAAATATAACAGCCGCCACTATAGAAGATCTGTCATTATGTAGTGTTCTTGATTTCAGGGGGAGTTCGTACTGCATCGTGTGCGGGGAACAGCGAACAAGGATGGACGTGTATATTTTTCTTTTCTTAGGATTGTTTTCAAGGTAAGAAATATGTTTTATGTTTCGACTACTCTGAATTATCATCAGGAAAGTTAATCTATGTTCAAAGCTTCGTAAAGGTAATAAAAGTAGAACAATTAATTTTAATATAATAAAAGTATTGCTTTAAATGTCTCATGAAGGAAATTATGATATATAGTTAACTTCAAAGCAAATTTATGAGTTCTTGATAATATCAAGGAAATACATAACATGCATCTTGATAGCCAAACATGCATGTAGAAATGCGGAAAAAACACATGTATATCCCTAAAATAAACAGACGAAACACAGAAAATCGCAGCAGGTTTCAATGCTAACGGCAAATATAGGATCTATTTGATGTGAAGAATCTTGAAAATTGCTCTAGTCATTAATGGGTCTAGAATCTCGAAACGACAGCACCACAGGAACCACTTGTTATTAAGCAAATATTAATTGGTGTAACATGTGCCTAATTGTAAACCGTGCAGGAAACTAAGATGCTTGAAACGTGATAATAAAGCTTTAATTAAACATTATTTTTTTACCAATATAAGTCGCTCATCTTAGTTTAATCCCAATCTGTTTAATCTGGTATTCGTTTTTTTTTTTTTTTTTTTTTTTTTTTTTTTTTTTTTTTTTGTAAAATCAATGTAGGCCTAATTTGAAGACAAGTACATAAAACTTATATGTATGTTAACAGGTTAAGAGATGTAAATGTTTAAAATGAAAACCGTAGTATTAACTGGGATTATATGATGTAAGATATGTAATTAAATCTTGTAGTTTAATCAGACAGATAATCTGAATGGTATTCATCTGTCTGGGTGGAAATTTTGACTTGCGAATGTTGTAGACCCCCTGTCGCGAGTAACAAAAAGATTGGCAATCGTTTATTAGCACTTCGGATGCCGCCAACTCGTGCCAAAATCATCACCTGATGCGGGGGAGGAGGCGCTGAATATGCCTTTCACTGCGTCTTAAACCACGTGTCGTTATAATATAGGATTATGCTCACTTTCTATTCTTGTTCTTTGTCAAAATTTAAAACATACGTCTTCTATAAATAACTCCGATACGGATGAGTAACTTAATAAACTGTGAGAAGATGACGGATATAAGATTGATGAAGGCGTTGTGTTCTATATCTGTAAATCTAACTTTTTATATCATAAAAAGCCTGTCTTTATATCCATCACCATCATAAAATGTGATAAAAAATATTACTGGGGTAAAGTTTATCTTAGACGAACGTTAAGATCTCGATATAGTTTTCACAAAAAATGTATCATATTACATTTATATTGCGGTTTTGGCACTACGTATTGTATTTGGTATTATATATTATTGCCTATTAGATTCAGTAATAGCTTAATTTATATTTTTACACATGTTTATCATTTCATCCGCTGGTCATTTGCATGGATGACCTTACCTGGTGTTCAGTCGGTCAAAGCAAACGTCATTATGTCTTAGCATATAATGAGTTAAAATGTTTTGTCTAATGTCAAGACTGTTCAATTCTTCAGTCATTAAGGCTGTGGTATCTAGACAACCTCAATGGAAGATTAATTAACGCTGTTCCCACATTTTTAGTTACAATGATCTCAAATTATATATGTCCTAGACTTATACCTAGCTTATTCCTAGACTTATACATCTTGTCCTAGACAAGAATACTACAGGGAGAAAAATGAGCAAATTGTTATCAATCACGTACACATGGCAATCGCTGTGCTGTGATGCTTTGTTAAAGATTGAAGTTTGCACTTTGCAGTCAAAGCGGATGTGTTACCTTACTTTAGGACCTGTTCCGACTACTAGTAAATGTATATCATATGGGTATGAATACCTGCAGGCAACATTGAGTTTTTCTTCATTTAAAATTGAAATAATCTTTTATTAATACTAGATTAAAGAGACGATAATGTGTTAATGAACTACAATATGTGCTGTAGTTTCTTAGAAAATGCCACCATTAACTTGAGGTCATCGATATTTATTACACTCGGAAGGGTTATACACCCACATGACAAAGTCTGTAAATACAACAATTATCAGCCTCTGTATGTCGATATTAGACAATATTTGACTTTGGGATTCGACTAATTACCAGATTGTTTGATATAAGGCCACGAAGACAAATATCATCCAAATAATGGACGTCTGATAATCTTCCAATAAAGTTTCTAAGATATCCAAATCTTATTACTATATTGTTCGTGTATTGTAATACAAATATTTGCTTAAGAGCCACATTTGTATATTAAAGATTTTAGTGTTTTTAAATGAAGATCAACATTTTTGAGTTTGCAGCTTGATCTCAATCATAAGAACTATGCTTGTACAAAGTATTTTAACACCCCTTCTTCAGGACGAAAATCTGAAAACAGAAATAAAACATTAACCTTTATAACTGTACAAATTATAATCATGAAGAATAAAGTTATTTAAGTTTAAGAAAAGGGTAACTTTTGAGTTTTAAAAAAAAATGACATAAATAGTTGCTATAGACAGGTAAATGAATATAAAGAAAACGTATTTTTTTAGTTCTGATATATATATATCATTAAATAAATAAAACGTATTTTTTAGTTCTGATATATATATATATATATATATATATATATATATATATATATATATATATATATATATATATATATATATATATATATATATATATATATATATATATATATTCCACCTTTTATAATTCAGGCTTACTACACACTTATGCTTTTTTAACCAAATGGCGAAAACATATTTTTCCTGAACCCTGCATGGAATTTGTTTAACCTGATAATTCGGCCCATGAACGAAGAAACCTAAGGAGCAATCTTTTTTTGTCTTAGTTTCTACCAATCTTACATATTTCTGACCGCGAGACGACATCTAGGTTGCTCAGTTGAATAGATAAAGAGATTGAACACCAACATTAACGCACTAAGACGGCGGTTTTTAAGTCATAACAGACATTTGTTTCATTATTTTATGACTGGAACTTAGATAATGTTATACAGTGTAAAACACTGATCCGAAAAAAAAAACTTCACTAATCTCATGAATTTAAAAACATATAAATAAAAAACAAAAACTAAGTGTTTCAAAATGTTTTGCAGTCTTTAGCTAAAGAAAAGCAGGAAAGAACTAGATTTTTGCGTAATATTTAAAGGTTCAAGTGACCTCAGTTCTTTTAACTAAGGTGCATTTTCAGTTTTATGTAATAAAGTACTGGGGAGTGAACCTTAAGAATGTACGCTTAGTTTTTATGGAATTTGCTTTTCTTGCATTTGATGCAGAATTTAAGTCGGAGCGAATTAAACGTGTTAGAGACATATTAGTTTGTTCAAAAGAACCTACATGTATTAAAAATGACACACATTTTCAGAACTTTTCAAAGTGTAAACAAATGTTGTATAAACACACTATATTCGTAATTCTGAAAGTTTCTCAATATTCCCCTCTCCAAATAAACTATTTCTAAACGTGTAGTACATGCGTCAATTTACCAGTAAGAAATAATACAACACATGGCTAATAAATCTGTTTATATAGGGACTTACGATGGGAATTCTTGGGGATTTATTTGATAATTGCCCCGCAAAGCCAATCGAATACGTTTGTAGTGTTCATGCACAGAGTGTTTAATTTGTTTTAAATTATCTTGACTTAACAGCTAATAAAGCACTAACTAGCAACAAAGAATTTTTCGAAGACTATTTGAATAATGAATATATAGGCACAATCTCTCGAATCGTAAAGAAAACAGAAACCTCACCAAGTCCAAATTCCTATACAGTTCATAATGATAGCATTCTCATGAAATACACGTATTTGCAAAATACATTTTCTCTGTAAATGAAGGCTTACCATACATTGTAAAATTGTCATTTAATTAACAAAGAGTTATCTTAATTAAAGATTCTCATATGTCGTATATGTCACAGCAATAAATGCATGCAATCTGGTCTAGATTTTTGTATTTTAATTGACTTTCGATATGTATATTTAAAAAAAACAAAAAAAAAAAAAACAAAAAAAAAACAGCATTTCCAGGTCTTTGAAAGAGCAGAAATTTAATTATATAATGATTTTTTTTGTTGAACACAGCATGATTAAAACAAATAAGATAAATGGGCTAATGGTGCAGTGGAAAAATGTTTATGTTGACTCATAAAGAGTATATTTACTACACTGTAGTTTAATTTTTTTATTTGTATTACCTATAACAAGTCATTAAAGAATCCTTGTCAGCGAAGTAAAAAAGTGGTTATGATCCATGTCTAAAAAATACATGAATGCTGTCAATGGGTTACTACTTTTGCTTGAAGCTAGATATAGTTGTACTGGTTTAAAAAAATGTTCGGTTTTCCTTATAACTCTGATGTGTGAGGCGTGATCCAGTATAAATTTATAAAGTGGTCATGATCTACGTCAAAAACATCTGAATGTTGTCAATGGTTTTACTACTTTTGCTTGAGGCTGTACTGGTTTAAAAAAAGGAACTGTTCGGTTTTTCCTAATACATGTAACTCTGATGTGTTCAGGCGTGGCCCATTATAAATCAAGTACATGTACTACCTAAACCTTAGTATTTTAATTTAGTACTACTTTTGTTAGTAGTTTTCCCTGAGATCATTAAGTGATTTATAAGGTACCCTGCATTTAAGTATTTTTTAGAATGTATACAACTTTGTTTTTCCCCCTTAACTTGATGAGATAAGTACGTCTCTCAGTTTGTTATCAATGGTACTCTTGTTTTAAGTGGGCGGTATCAACCCACTACTTTTGTAGAATCTGACACCTTTCAAAGAGCACCAGAGTACGAGTCAGGACCTAATATCTGAGTGTCTGTCCCGCTTTATTCCGAGGCGAGTGACCGTGTAATCCAAACATCTTTGGAGATGATGCCGCCATATGTCACAATTATTACCCGATCTGTTTAGTTTTACGGCAATATGCAACCACTCTGAGCCGTAACCTTAGCTGACCTGTTATTTACAGAACGGGCACTGGTTTACATATTGTGGCTCTGTCATTTGCCATGTTATCTTTGATAATTATCTTAATATATGATTGTTTATTGTTTTATACATGATTGTGCCAAGTAAAAGTGTTGTGGAATGCTCTGTTATGTTTCTCTTTCTTACTGGTCGACCATTGTCTTTTCTGCTTTTTGGTAATTTAGGATTTATTGCTTATTTACTTTAAAATTTTCAGTAATTTTAAAATTACTTTTCAACTGTGAAAATTCCCAACAACATCTTTCTTCTTTTATAACTTACCATATGTATAGTATTCGATGATTAATATTTTATTCACAGTATTTTTTTTTTTTTGAAATACTGTGAAAAAACTGAACATTTCTTTTATGAAAAAGGGGCATTTCTGCGATGAAATGTAACGTTAGGTGTATAATACTTAATATAAAATAATAAAATTCATAACAGAAGAACAGATTAGAGATATATCATTCAACTTATAAGATCATAAATTAAGTGGAAAGTTGCTGATGCATGCAGCAACGCCTATTACTTATTAAGCTCTAGATCTAAAGATTCTTGTAGACTGGTTTTTGCCTGCAGTTGCGCTCTGAACAATGTCTGCACACTTGAATATCTTGGCTTAGCAGTCAAATATATTAATATGTGTTCACTCCATTATTAACTCTTCATATTCATTGTCTCTCTCCCTTTATATCATTCTAAGAAGAAAAATTATGTTTTTGGCGGAAGGCGGCAAAATAACCAAAATATTGGGCCTTGTTGTTTTGCAAGATAAAACAATTGCTTATTACATGTAAATCAAAATATCTGACGGCCTTTGTGTCGGAAAAACAGTTGATTTTCCAGTGATCTCATCCAGTTTTTGCATGATTTAGGCAGTGGTGCAGTATCTTGGAATGCAATCAGTTTATGATTATTCTCTCAGAGAGTAAAAACCTCTGAGCCAAAACTGGAGTCGTTGCAAATTTTATCTCTCCGTATATCATATTCTCAATGGGTCGTGTCGATAAACATTTAGCACGATTATTTTTGCCTTGATTGAAAAAAAAAATAGTTATTGCTATCAACGTGTGGGGTGGTGGAAATTTTCATTCTCATATAACTTTAATGTACTTGAATATTTATTAATCGTTTCATGATCCTAAAATGAGATTATTGATAATTAAAATTTGTTTAATTTTATTTGCTTTTTATTTCTTTATTTTTATAATGACGATTAATATTTTATTAGAGCTGCAACATCTCAGTTATTAGCCATGCTTATATAAAATACACATGTCTTCTAGGATAAAAGATGCCATTTACTAATGTATTTTGTTTCGAGAAAACGTATATATATATATTTTCCTACAGTGCTTACGCACGATGCATTACCCCAGTTTACATCATCCAACCAATATGTTCACGATGAGAAAAGATTAAAATAATTGTTTAAATAGGCTAGGGAAATCATATTGTCGGGTAGTACATTTTTTTTATTATAGAAAAAACTCACTAAAAATCTTGACGTCTCTGAGAGCGGACCAATTATGAAAATTCCAACACTAGATCCTCTGTACTCCAAAAGTCAGAGAATTGGTAATCATTCACAGCAATGTTGAGCTGGTAAAACCCTCTTTGTTATCAAAGTGTTTATTGACTAAAACAAAGTTTTTATCCTTCTTAGTTAATTCTTAATTGATATTAAGATAGACATGAGAAGCTTTTGCAACATCGGAGAGAGGGTGAAGTATAAAAGCCCGAAAAGTATTATTGTATCTGATACTTACGTATATTTGAATATTGGATCATAGCCTACAATGTATGTTTATAGCTTAGTTTCAAATACATGAATTCAGTAGATGTGAACTCAAAACATTTGACATTTTTATACTTACATGCATTTTCAAGACTGGGATATCTAAAATGTCTGTTTGCAGCTTCTTTACTCCATTACAAACATGATACCTTTTCTTATATTTGAGTGTTTTTTCTTTGGTTTTGTTTTGTTTTTGTTTGCTACTTTAAAAGTTAAGTTAGGGCGAACAGGTTATTCTTTTGAACAGGTAGCATTGAACCAATTATAGATCTAAATCTTTATATTTAGATTAACTGGAACATTTGGACAGAAGAGCTACGTTGCTGAAACTTCAAACGTCTTTACGACAGCCTTTCTAAAGTACAATAAGCATTTCCGGCCCTACAACGAGTCTTCTAGTCCGCTCCTGGTGAATGTTCGATTTGATTTTGTAAAAGTTCTAAAGGTAGACCCCGAGATTCCGAGTATGACTTCCATAGTGGACACCCGATTTGTGAGTACAATTCAGTTAAAAGCTTCATAGTGTATATTTGCGCTTATTTCTCGGAATTTTAAAAGAAGAGAGAAGCCTCAAATATGTGTTAGGTCATGTATTTTGTTTATTGCTAAGTTAACTTCATGTTTCATTTGTGGCTTTTTCTTAAGTGTGTAAATAGTGAAAGTTATATGAAAAATTGAAGTTGTATACAGTAGATATGAGGCTTGTTATATTCAAAGAAAATACAGGATGGCATAATAAACTATCCGCTCTATTTAGTTTGATAAGTTTACGAAACCTGTAATGTCTGTTATGTGTCGAAAAGTTATGAGTTAAAACAAGATACAAATTATTTGAGCTTACACTATAGAATCTTACATTTCAGCAATGGGTTGACGGGCGACTTTACTGGTACTCTGACATCATTAAGCATGTAACAGTCAACAGTACTGAAGTGTGGACACCTGATGTATATTTCCTAAATATGTAAGCACCGTTTCAAAAACATTCCTATTATGCTTATGAAACACTCAAAACAAGGCAACCCATATCACAATCTACTTACACTCCCTTGCATGTATATCCTCATTCCAAAATTTGTTTATCCTAAATGAAAGGACGTTATCAATAGTCGTAGGAAACGGGAGAGGGTATCTTTCGCTCCAGAGACACCAGACTCTTAGTATATATGTGAAAGACTTATAGATATACACCGGTACTAAAGGTAAAAATATAAGTCTTTGATATACTAGTATATCGGTAGTAGGGGTAAAAATATCAGTCTTTGATATATACCGGTACTAAGGGTCAAAATAGCAGTCTTGGAAATACATGTATATACTAGCACTAAGGGTTAAAAAAAATATGATTCTGTCTTTGATATATACCGGTATTAGGGGTCAAAATCATTCAAGCGAGATCGGTACCAGTGTCTTGCTCAGTATTTGTTAGATATTACGAGGAACTAAACCTCGTCCTTAGCCCCACGAAGTGAAAGTTACCAATCATGGGACGATGGGCATATTCTTTTCCTTCTGCTTCTCAAATTATTTAAAGTGCTTTACCCTCTTAGCATTAAGTACCCTCTCAATCTGAAAAAGCTTTGTAAGGGCCTGATATTACAAGTAAACAAATCTTGACTGGATGTCAATTAGACACTTTACGTATACTCTTTTAACTTTTGTAGGGAGTCGCAGCCACAAGTACTAATCAATCCCCGCTTTCTGACCATAGAGTCTACCGGGAAAGTGTATTGGTACCAGCGGACCAAACTCATTACGCCATGCTCTTCGGAATCTAACGGAGACTTCACCTGTCCCGTGACTTTCGGTTCTATGCAGTTTCCTCAAAGTGAACTCGACTTTGACCGCATAGAGTGTGAATATAGCAATGCAAGCAGCAAAAATGTGAACGTCACTTCCGTTACAATGGAAGTAAATACAGAGGATTTACCACGTGTACCTTTCTCCAAGAGTACGTCAAAAAGAGGAAGTTGCGTTGCTTCTATTTCTGTTGATCTTGAAGCAAGCAGCAGGGAGAAATATAGTTACCAGAAGTTTGAGGCTCAAAGGGGCAATATGAAGTCATCGTCTGTCTATATAATAGCCAACTTAGTGACTGTTGTTTTGTCTCTTACGAGCGTTTTGGTAAAATAAAAAGATATATAGAATGTTATTTACCTATGAAAAAAGACATGAATGGAAGCAAAAAAGGAGATAATAGCTGATTACGCATTTATAAGCAACTCTTTTGTATAATCAATCCGTATACATAATATGATTGTCTTGAAACTATGAATTATATATATATATATATATATATATATATATATATATATATATATATATATATATATATATATATATATATATATATATATATATATATATTCATTGCCCGCCACTGCGTAATTCTCCGAAAATAGCAATTTTGTTTTTCAATGTTATTGCGCAAATCTTTAGTGCATTTTAAAACCTTATGAAGACAAGAGGGCGATAGTGACTTTTATAACTGTAGATAACTTTGCTAGTATTTACTCTGTTGTGCTAGTGCAGATAGTCATTAAGCGCTTTTTAAGGACATACGCAACGTAGTTTGAACTTTATTGTCTTTTTCCCTGGATTTGAAGAATTCCGATACTTAAAGGAATTGTGTGCTACATTTTTATGTCTATATATGCTGTTGTACGCTTCTTCTAAAACAAGTTTGGATAAACAAAACATCTAGAATATATGTTTAGTAATTTTTGTGTATTTTTCTTTGAATTATACAAAAAATTTCATCAATTGATATCTTTTCAAAACCCCTGGTAATGCATGCTGATCTTTTGTCTACGAACTTCTGATGGCACTATAATCTTAAATTAAGAATATCTTGAAAATTTATCAGTAGGTAAGGTACGTTGCGTATGTCCTTAAATCGCCTGCATAATAGCACATAGGTATTTGCAAGTTTATATACATGTATATGACAATGTTTTTGTCACACTATACGAAGGATCCGCACAAAAATACTCAAATAGCTGTTCACAATATTATGATAATGAAGTTTGTACATTGTATATCGATATTCATAAAATTGAAAAGTTGAAATGTCTTATATATTTGTCGTCTCGAATGTATAAAACTGCTAATTTACATGAAAAATATTTTTTTTTTAAAAATGTACCGGAAAATGTCACAAAGGTCAAAGAGTCGATGCTTTCTAATGGGGAAAGTTATTAACAGCTTTGTATTTAGTAGTCTGATAATAATTGAAAGCTGAGAGAGAGAGAGAGAGAGAGAGAGAGAGTTTGATTTTCTATAAAACAAGGAACGTGTAGTTCTATATATATATATATATATATATATATATATATATAATTAAACAATTATTTGAATAAAATATTTAATATGCTTTTGATGAATATCCTATCCTAGTCTTGTGCATCAATTAACTATAGCTTATATTAATTTCTCAGGCACTAGAATATGTTTTTTTATGAAAGGGTTTGTGATGTCTTCGTTTTATAGATCACATTGACATTAAACATTTAAAATAATCCTTGCATTCTTTTTTGAATCATCTAGATGTCATTCATTGATTAAATATGCCGAAAAAAGCCATTTAAAGTCTTGCAATTGTCTCACATAAAACGTAGCCATGTTGATTTAAATGGTCAGTGAAATGGGGTGGCAAGGAATGGTTGGAAATGAAGCTTCCAATAGATTGTGCATTCTTTTGTGTTTATGATACATTGAATAGAATCGATAGAAATGAACATTAATTAAGAAATTATTTAATTGTTATTATGAAGACAGTTTTAAACAGCATTGTGAAAGGCTATTCGTAAAGCCATGTATGATTGGGAGTTTAAACTGCCATGGATTAATTCTGAATACATTACACAGAATCTTGCTTTTGTGTACATGTATTAAATTTTGATCAAGATTTTAAGCAGATTGTGTTCTAATGTTTTGGATTACTCCAAATCGGAAACTAATCACCAATATCTAGGTATCGTTTTCATTGGGTATGTTTTTCAGTTTAATCACTGTGTGGCATTAGTTTGTTTGTCCCTTGTTTTAAGAAATCGAGATCTCTAACACATAGACAAAACAATCGAGTGACTGGACGCTAAAAATTTTGGTTGTCTTTTTCCATGTTTTTGATAGTTCCGAGATCTTAGACGCAAACACCACTGTGAAGACATCGTGTCTAGGAGTAAAAACGTTTTGTATTTATGACATTGTTGATCGGAACAAGGAGTCAAAATGACAGCTCCAACAGCTCCAATAGGGTGGTCCTCCGCGAGGATGAACATGCACTTTAAACCCGTCACTCCAAGGAAAGCTGAGACAGGAATGTACTTCAACCTTCATAAAAACGTGAAGAAGTCTCTACTGCCTAAAGAAGTTCAAAACATGGAAACACAAAGTGTGGAACTTGCTAGACAGATTCTTCACCGCCAACGACAAAAGTCCCGGATAACCCGCGAGAAATACAGGCAACTCGTCTCTCAAGGTTCTTCTCGGTTCACAGTCGTCAATTCCGAGCCGGGAGGTCGTACAAATTTTTCCGAGGATTTTTCTAGAAGTCTTTATCTTCCGCCCGTCGGGCGCCAAAAGCCAAATACACCTATGACCCCTGGGTCAAGGTACACTGCCGATGACGTCAGAAGTATTGTGGATAGACTGTCGACATACGATCCGTGTAAAGTTCCGGAGTCTAGGGGACAGTTTATAAAATTACCGCCCCCTATCGTGTACAAGAAAAAATACAGCGAAAACGAGGTTCAGTCAATCGTGGACCGACTATCAGAGTATAACCCATTGAAAGGTCCAGCGGAATCAAAAGGGATTCCCACCATAGTTCGCAGAATCCCACGTCAGAGTATGGTTCCACCGCAGAAGTGCACTTCCGATGAAGTAGAAGACATCGTTGAAAGATTGTGTAGCGTTCATTTTGATATTCCTGAAAGAGAACATCGGTACGTGCCAACACCCTATCCACTCTCTGCACGATCGTAAGATGCATCCATCAATTCAGGAAAGATTTCGAGGAAAAAGCCTTAATGTGTTTGCAGCCAGATGCAAATGGCCAGTGGATCTGTTTGGAACTGAAAGCTTGTCCGCGTTTTCGTGAGAAAAGTCCTTTACCGACCATGCTTGTGGATTTCGATTTACTATAAGCATGATATTTTGACATTGCATTGGACAACTGCAAGATCCCCTGACTTTGAATTCGAGGTGTTTTCTGATTTCGATATCAGTTTGTTTTCGGTTTTATTTTAGCTCAAGGGGTTGATAAATGAAATCCTTGGTGCTATCTAGTGATGTATTGTGTCCCTTACTTGTTTTGCTACTCGAATATGCACAACTCTAGTCTTTCAACTCTGACAGAAAGAGTTCGATTCTAATATATAGTGCTAACATGTTAATATTGATCATTATTAGAGTTATGTTGGTCACAAGTGTACGAATTTTAAGTATATAAAATTGTAAACAGTTTCGGTTGTTTCAGTTTGTCTTTCCAGATTTTGACACTTTATTGGTCGTAGAAGCAGCGTGACCATGGTCTGAAAATTCTTATTACTATGGATGTACATTTTTATGCGTACAAAATTTGAGGAAGTTTGAAGTGAATTACAGAATGAAGTTTTAAATAATAAATTTGTATGCTGTGCTACCGGCTCTCATCTAATCATACCATAAGCATTAATTAATACATAGTAAAATGTAAACTTCAAATTGTAAGCCTCGTAAAATGGTTGTCACATGACCAATATGTGAGGGAAGTCAAGATGTAAAACATATGCTGAAATATAGCAGTTTTCTTGATTAACTTCAGTGGAAAAAAGGAAGGGGACATTTAAGGACGTGTATTTATACGCGCTTTCATATCACATGAACTGTAAACATGGCTAATGGAGCTTTGGTATAATACACTAAATAATATTGCCTGTCTGTTTAATATAACTGCACTCCCACTAATGAGTCACTTATTCTTGAAAGAATAAATTAATTTCAAATGATTCATATGCTATTTTTACTAATAATAACTATGACAAACCAATTTGGGGTTATGCCTTCATAACTGCATCTCCTGTATGACCTCTGAACTATTTCTCTGCATCCTTCTATAGGTTGTAAATTACTAGATTGATGCTGTCATAAGACAGTAATACCCGCACGCAGGTGTTTGCCTCTAAATGTACTCTCCCTCATATTTGTGTAACAAAGGAAGATTTTAAGCCACAATTCTATATTTTACAAAAAATTGCGTTTTCGACCCCCAATTATCCCCCGTGTGATAATCGAAATTCCGAAATCTAAATGCACATCTACAGGACACTCCGGTCTTACTTTCCAAAATATGATTGGGCTACTGAGAAAAATGTAGGCTACAACCATGTTTTTTTTTTGGGGGGGGGGGGGAAACACACACACAATCATTTTTTTTTACCTCCATTTGACGGCTCTCATGGTGAAAATTAAAATTCTGAAACCTTATTGCACATCTACAGGACACCACCATTCACCATATAAAAGAAGAATTTGCTAATGCAAACAATTAATGTAAGACGAGTTCAGGGAAGCAAGTATTTGTAGGAAAAAAACGACGTTTTTCGATCTCCCACTCGGCACGAAGGATGAAAATGAGAATTCTAAAACTTTATTGCACATCTACAGGACACCACCAATCATATCCCAAAATAGAGTTGGCTACTGCAAAAAAATGTAAGCTTTCGGGGAACCAGGTTTTTTGTTTAAAAAAAGTCATTTTATTTAATTAATCCGCAATCGCCCACCACCACCACTCCGGGTAAAAATCGAAATTCCGAAACCTTATTGCATGTGACCTACAGTACACTCTCAATCATATTTCAAAATATGAATAGGCTTCTGTTAAAAATGTAAGTAGGGTGAAGGGAATCAGGTTTTTGTAGAAGTTTTTTTTCGGCCCCTAAGAGTGAAAATGAAAATTTCAAAACCTTATTGCACATCTACAGGACACCACTTATCATATTCTTAAAGATGAGTTAGCTACTGCAAAAACATTAAGAGTTTGTGGAACCAGGATTTTGTAGAAAAATGTTTTTTGACCACCAATCACCCCTACAGTGAAAATCAAAACCCAAAACCTTATTGTACATCTATAGGACACTCCCAATCATATTTCAGTGATGAATGGGCTACTGTGAAAAATGTAAGAGGAGTTCAAGGAACCAGGTTTACGTATAAAAACTCCACTTTATTACCCCCATTTGACCCCAAAGGTAGAAATAAAAATTTCAAATATCTTCTTGAACATGTTCAAGGCACCACGAATCATATTCCAAAAGATGAGTTGGCTACTGCTTAAAATGTAAGATTAGTTTGAGGAAGAAACATATAGTGTGACAGACAGATGGACCTGAAATATAACGAATATTAAGCATCCAGCTGCTTTTTTAAAAATTGCGTTTGAGGATAATAATAGGCTTTAGAGCACAACACAATTCCCATATACACTAAAAAGCAGAGACAAATATATTCCTTAATTACAATGGCCTCTTAAAGAAAGTACCCCAAATATTCTCTACTGTATCCTATCTCTCATGATTTCTCTGATGTATACTAAACAATGAAAATTAGCACGATTCAAGGTCGTTAAACATGGGTACCTAAAGAGTTTCTTAGTAAGTCTTAAAGAGTTTCTTAATAAGTCAATAAAGCAGAAGATTGTTTATTATCTTTACTGAGGAATACATCAATATAAAATGCAAGATAAAAAATATGGCATCTGAATAAATTCTGTGTAAATTATAGATATCTTTATCATCTATTTATTTAAAATGTTATCAGTGAACGTTGTTAATTGAGAAATATCAGTATACATAAAGATTGATCATTTCTGTTAGGATCTTGACTCACTCTAAAAAGTAATTAAGATTTCATTTTCAAAAAAAAAAATGTTGTAAAATAAAATTACAATGTCTGAAAAACTGGGAATTATTGCCATTCTATAAAAATAGCATATCATGTGTCTTCCATGTGTAGGAGAACTTCATGACTGAAGGGATAAATATAAAAATAATATATATAAATATAAATCATGATCACTGTGTCTAAAAATCTAAAATGTAACAATTTTGAGTCTGAAAATACAATGTGAATATAATATCTACATATTAAACAAGGTATTACAAAAAGATGAAGTTATTTACAACTATGTTATGATATCATCAATCATTCTAATATCATACATACTGTGGCTCTTTTCCTTTACGTAAAAAAAAAATCAGTAACATTTTTTGTCTCTTTTTTTTCTTTTCAATCAAAATTATATATTAAAAATCACAAGTTGAAGGATTTTGGCTGGCACAAAATTTTCAAAGTGTTTCATTACTATTCAAAATAGACAGCAAATCCCCACCCCCTTTAAAATTGGCATATACACTGTCTACTACATTCATATTTGTACAAGTCCTAACAAAAGGGCTTTAGAGATATGTTATAGTCATGTATACAACAGATATGGAAGTTTAAAAAAAAATCATTTCTTTCATACAATTTAATTCACACACTTCAAAATGGCAATGAAATATTATATACAAGAATGAAATGGATAACTATCACTCCAACTTATCAATATTTTCTTGCATAGTTGAGATTACAAGTCAAGTTTTTCAATGCTTGTTGGTTAGTATTCTCGCCTATCTGGATAATCCTGTTTTAACTTATTCTTAAATTCCCGTGAAGCCATAACTAGGGCAATGGCAGAGAATAGTGTGAAGAAGGCCGAGATGATAAAAAATCCATAGGCCCAAGAGAGGTAATTCTGATCCGGACGGGGTACCCACTGTCGATCCTCCTTCTTGATTCCGAATATAATGGCCTGGATGAGAATTAAGACAACTGCAAAAAAAAAAAAAAAGATAAAAGTGTGAAATGTCTTCTCTCCTTGATACAGAATAAAATATGTTGAAATATCAAGAGAAAAATTATGTCACTTGATCAGTAAACTTACCAACGAAAAAGTACACAAAACTGCCACCCATTAATATAACTTCATGTAGATATATTGGGAAATAGTTCAAGGCCAGTAGAATCAGAATAATGGTGGCAATAAACTGGAAAAGGATGCAGACACTGGCAATGACCTGACACACTATAAACCAGGCTAAAAAAGAATAAAAATTTAAATTATACTTCCATTTTCATGCACAAATTTTAAAGACAATGCCATCTAGAATTAAGTTTATATTCAACGTACATGTATATGTACTTTATAATTTACCTTTACCACTGATAATAATTTCCAAGATATCCTTAATTTAAAATCATAGCACCATCAGATGTTCTTTATCTTAGATTAAAAATCAGCATACATTACCAGGCGTTTTGAACAGATATCAAATGAAGAAAATCCTTGCGTTTTTTTTTTTTATGAACAAAAATATAGTTTTAGATGGTATTTTCTAAAATTTATAATTAATTCAAAGGAGATGTACATAATTGCCAGGCATCATAATCACACAAAGGGTACTTCAATTATTGGAACTCTTAAATTATACTGGGAATAAGAAAAAAAGTTCAAAACTATGTTGCGTATGTCCTTAAGAATATTATTATCTCCTGAAATATGTTCCTAAACCTCGCTAGGGATGTTAGAGAAAACTCTAGTTAAATACCGGAAGAAATTAAGTTACCAAATTTGCGAGTGTTTTATTTAGGATTCTTGCGTTTTATATCATCTTAATGTTTCAAATATGTTAAAATTCTTACGTGGTGATAGCCATTCCCAAATCACTCGATACTGGTCGGAGAAAATATACCAACAGCCTTTGTAGCGTTTTCCATTGTAGTCTTTCCAAAATGTGTAATCATTAAAGCAAAATTCCCAGAGACCCGCCTTTACAAATCTACTATCTGCCTTCGAAAATGATTCTACCCAATACGGACTGGCAAAGGACGCTACCATAAAGGTGAACGCCACAATCGAAAAACCCAAGGCGATCAACGACTTCGCCATCTTGCTTTCAAATCGCCTCCATTAGATCATCTACCTGGAATGTCAACACCTGAGAGTGTTCCAAATTTAAATCAAAGGGGTGGTCAGCATTGCAGGTGCGTCGTTGTTTTGAAACACACACAAAAATGGCAAATTGTTGATATGTAATAATAAAAGTAAATTTAAATAATCATAAACTTAATCTTTACTATTTGTTTACATGCAAATAATTATATTTGCCTAATTTTATTATACTCCGATTTAAGGGAGATAACTCGTATCGTCACGTCAAGTCCTCATCAAAATAGTGGTACGAAAATACAAAATATTGAAAATTATGAATATATGGATATAATAATACAAAACTTTTCATGACTCCTAAGATCAAGACAAACCGTCCACTGATAGTGTTTTGATGGAAAAATCCATCTACTTAAAAAAAAAGGTTCTTTGTCATTTATACATGATGGGTTTATATAGGGTAATTTACCTGTCGTGATTTTTATTATATGTATTCTGAATTAGTATTTATAATAAACGTTGACATAAAACAAAACATTTTTGATTTGATTACTACTTAGAACAACATGCATAATGATTTAACAATGCATAACACATCACTACTTGTTTAAATATTTTTATTGTACAAGTACATATCATTATGATCAGTAAAAATTCTATATAAAATATATGTATATACATTATACACAGAGGGTAAAAATACACTTAGTTAAGGTTGATGGATGGAAATTGAAAATAGCTGCAAAATACAATTTGACATGCTAAATGTGATAATATATTCAAATATTTTTTAATTTGAAATAAAAATGAATGTTAAAAGTAAATATGGAATCTAGAAAAAATATCAGATTTTTGAAAAAAAATCCTTTATATTTAAACCTTGTAGTGCATTACTCTATAAACTAGTCCAAAAGATTTTCAATTATTGAAATGTGTTCATAATAACAGAGAAATTCAGTAATGAGTGCACTTCAATTATTAGACTGATAGAATTTTTAAAATGTCAATTACTTTAAAAAAAGCATTTCATGAACTTATGAAAGTATCATTGCATGAATTTAATGAATGATGTTAATGAGGTGAATGGACAGATGTAATGAATTCATATTTACAAATTGAAATTGTGAAGTTGTCTGTATATGATATCAATGAACGAGTCCTGTTATCGTACAGTAAATCATAAACGTCAATCCACAAGGAATTGTGGGGGAAAAATCCTTCTCCAAATAAATGGCAGATCAATGTACATATATTTGGTCAACTTTCTTAACAAGAAAATGAATATTTCCATTTACAAAGTTAATGTTGATATTGTCAGAAATGGAGCACTCCTGGACTAATAAATTGGTTGGGCGGGTTTTATGATCTGTCCTCCATATCTTGGTTTCTCCTGACTCATCTTCTGGTCGAAGCGAACCTGTGTGGCAGAGAACGCAGCACAGAACCCCCCAAACACAAGGAGGAACCCAGACATGACCATCAGACCAAAAGAGTAGGACAGGTAATTCTTGTCTGGATTCTGAATCCACTGTCTGTTCACAACTGACATAGTGCCAAAAATCAAGATGCAGATACCTGTCACAACACCTGAGAAAATAGAGGAAAAAAGTCAGAATCTATCTTATCTTCATGATGAAGATATTAGTTAGAAACTATATAATTTTTTCTAATAATCTTAAAATTGTTAAGTGATGCTGCAAGTTCTACATCTGATGTCTTACCTTTATTCAACTAGGCAGATAATCTTAAAATCACTCTTACATGAAAGTAATGGATTTAAAATACATCACACTCAATTGTTACACTTGTTTTTTTTTTTTTTTAGAACAAGTACTTTTATATCATTCATTATCAAATGTCAATTTTAGAAATATTTTTTTTGGTTCAGTTTTGCCATTTTTCTCATCATTACTGTCTTCTTACCACAGACCACTGCTGCGACCCCCACAGACATGAGTGCCCCGAAGCTGTTCTTGCCCTTTAATATGTTAAGGATGAACAAGATGATGAGGGAGAGGACAACAATCTCTGCCAACAGGGTCAAGGTCATCATCACTTGTATAGAAAGGAACCATGCTACAAAAAGTATATAGGTCATAAAACATATCTTATAATGGAAGTAAATCTCAAGGTACAGGAAACACTGAAGATTCAATTAATTCACTACAAGTTATGGTGGCATACATGTGTAATATTTTATGTGATGAATAAGAGATATGGAAAGTATTAAACTAGAATAATTATAGCACGTACAGTGTATTGAATACCCCCAGTTAGCAGTAGGAATTTAAGTGCAGAATTGAAGTAACATTAATTGCAGTATTACTTGTACATGTATATCATACTTGGGTATTTATAATTAATTAGGAAGCCAGAGTTTTTTACTTGAAATAGAGAAACTTGAGAATGGACTGGAGCCACTCTGAGTGTTTATAATGCTTTTGTTGATGAATATAAATATTTGGGTGTTGTCCTAAAAAATAATGGTAAATTGAAATATGCATGCGAAAATTTAGCAGTAGAGCAAGGAATGCATATTTTACAATCAAATAAAAACTACCAAACAATATCTTAGTCTCTCAGGAAAGGTTCAATTTAAGATATATGAATCATGCATTATGCCAATTTTGACTTATGCTTCAGAAATCTGGTTAAGTGATTTTATAAAATCTTCTATTTATGCCGCCACTTTGTGTCGCTCGCTTCGGGCATTATTTCTTGTATTTTATGCTTTTCCCCATTTTAAGAATGATATCCACTAATTAACCATATATTTAACTTCTATTCCTCATACTTTATTTAACTTCCAATGGTTCCTAATGGCCGTATGTGGTTTTGGAGTATCAGTTAAAAAAATTCATTCCAATGTCCATGTTGGTGTCATCCTGTAATATCACGCCTAAGTTTTATTTATCTCATTTCTTTTTTACTGACTTAATGTCTTGTTTATTGACAATATACATGATATTTGAACCTCCTGAATTTTTTTTTTTTTTTTCAACAAGTGTATGTTCTTTGAAAGACTTATTTCTGCACGACACTCAACAGGGATGTGGGAATGGGATTTTTTTAAACAGACATTCCAAAACCATAAAGGGCTGTTTGGGACTGTTGAAAGGTTTAATAATTAAAGTATCAAGAATAGGAGTAAAATATATGGCTTATTATCGGATAGGGCTGGGACGATACAACTTTTTCTATATCGATATGTATCACGATATTTGAGCCACGATACGATATGTATCACGATATGTTTAATTGGTTATAAAATCTTTTTTTGCATTGAAATAAACAAAATATTTCTTTGCAAAAAAAAATAATTTATTCAAAATAGTTGTTTATATGTTGTAAAACAAAAATATTTTACTCAAGTGGTGTTAATTATTATTTATTTCATATCTATATTTATATTTTGCTTATTTATTTTATATATTAAACCCCAAATGTTAAATAAACAAAGAAAAACAGCAGTCAGAATTTTTTTTGCAATATTTCGATATTTCATCATATGTATCGATATGCGTATCGTCTTCACAAAGAATCGATATTATCGATATCTCGATATATCGTCCCAGCCCTATTATCGGATACCATATTCTTAAATCGGGTAAAGCATAAAATACAAGAAATAACACCTGAAGTGAGCGACAAAAAAAGCAGCGGCTTAAATCAAAAGTTTTTACAATGCTTGGATCTTTAGCTCTCTGCTTTATCTGTCCGAATTTTCTCAATCAGAGAGCTACAGTTCTGCAGCTAATGGACACTTACATGGATTAATCCAGTGGAAGATTGGTCTATATTCATATGAATAAATCCACCAGCATCCATCATAAATCTTTCCATTGTAATCATTAAAATATGTCCAGTGATTGAAGCATGCTGTCCACAGACCCAACTAAAAATACAAAATTAAGAATATTTAACATACATGTATCAAGTACACATACAATAAAAGTGAATTTACAAATAATCAAGATTATAGCTTGAAAATGATCAATCTTGCATGTAATAAATATCAGACATTTTACAGGTAGTAAGGTGCGTAAATGTTACAAAAATCTTTTTGCTCAGAATGAGAGTAAAATGATTCTCTTTAGAAATTTACAATTGTTTATTAAAGAAGAAAAAAATATGACAACTTAGACATAACAACACGATCGATCTTGATCAATCATTTTCCTTATTCTATAATTCTGTCAAATTTAGTGTAAGCTTCTCTTTTACAAACTACCTTGATGCAAAAAAAGGCAAATGCTCATACAATGTATATAAACAAAGTAAGTGTCATTTCCTGTTTACCTGTGTACACCTCGATATGGCTTACCTTGACAAATCCGTTCTTTAATTTATATTTATCGTCGGCTTCTAACCAATTTGGTGTCGAAAAAGCAATGAGAAAGAAAAGGAAACCTATCGAAATAAACACCGCAGACGATATGAGCAGATACCTCGCTCTGTTCCAGGTAGCCATTTTGTTCTTCTCTGATAAACCGGAAGTTGACAGATGAGAATTGAATTTGGAAGCGTCCAAACTGGTACAAGGGGTGAACAGATCGAGTCAAAGTAATGTATCATTTTTAAAATTCATTACAATAAATAAATAAAAAAAATAAAATCAATAAATAAAATATAATTAATAAAGAAATAAAATAAAAATACACAAAACAACTAAAAATAAATAAATACATGAATAAATTAGAATATTAAAGATTATAAATGTACACTTAAAGTTTCCGTCTTTAACAATGGAAGTGAAACAATTAAAAAAAAACCCGAGAGATTATGAAACAAATAAACTAGAGAATAGGATGAATATCAAATATAAATTGGTAAAAGTTGTCAATATAAATGATATATAATTAGAGAATTTTATAAATTATTTCTTTGACCTTAAGTAACATTTACCTAAAATATTTGCATGGATCGAAACCTATCACCATCATTTTTAAAATAGTACATTCTGATGTCCGTATATATATTAATTATAGCATATAATTACAGATAAAGTAACAGACAATAGGACAACACATAATGAAGTTCAATCTTCCATTTAGTTAATTGGTGGTATATTTTCAATTTCATGTGTAGATATATGTTCTTATTATAAATTTAAGATACATCGATCAGCATATTTAATTAATTCTTAATGTGTAACCATATGCATTATTATTTTTAATGCAATATACATCTGCACACATAACATGTACCTTCAGGATACCACGCACCTTCGCTAGCCAAGGGTTTCTCATCCTCTAATGAAGTCCTAGGGTTTGTGAGGTTGGCTAGCGGAGATGGCCTGATACATCAATAATAGGCAGCCTGAGTCGGCGCTAAAGGATGATCAGAATTTAAATCCATTTAGAACTGCCTCATGTAGAATATTTATATGACAACACAGTCTAAATTATATGCATCCTGTGTGTGTGTTAAAATACGCATTAAACCCGACTCATCGACTAAAATGATCAACGCCTATATTCAAGCTTATCAATCCGTTCACAAATAAGTGTAATGAAAGACTATATAAACGTTTAAAATTTAACCTTTCATGAGTGAATTAGAAATACATGTACATTAATATCATGTTGTAAATTTTGAATTTACTTGGTGGAGGAAAATGCAAAATTTACAACATGATATTAACTTGAAAGAATTTACCGTATTTTTGATGACATACTTGTATTCAAGTGTATGAAGATTAAAAAAAAGTTTAAACACTGTCTGTTTTGCATATATTTATTATCAATAAACATCAAAGATGTATAACATTTAATTCTCTGATAAAACATGTACATGTATAAGTCAATTTATACATGTATATAAAAAAACCCCACACAAAATAAATTATCACAATTATGCATTATAAAAGTAAAATATACTCCATAACAAATCAGCATCGTGGACAGTTAACACAAAGATTTAAAAATTTCTACTTGATTTACTGACAAAGTTTATAAGGACCCCCTCCCCTCAGCCGAGAGAAAAAAAATCTTTTTAAAAACATGCAGATGAAAAGAATTTCATCCCTGACTTTCTGAAAAAATAAATATTAAATAAAAAAAGGAACTGGATTGGTAATTAATACCTGTAAACCGATCGCAGATAAAACATACATATATGCATAACATTCACTTTCAAACTAAATCACTTTGTATATCCTTCGGGACCATTGGAGTTTGAGTTTAATGCTTTAAAAAAGACAAAAATTAAAAAAAATCTTTTAAAAAGACAAATTGCCTCGTTTCTCCTCGACTAATTTGCAGATACAATGTATTGTATTGTTTATTACCAAGAACCTGTTAGATATTGTATAAACTGTTTGGCACAAAAGTTTGCGTTTGTTTTTGAAATTGCCAACATGGTAATTATAATTACATATGCTTAAGGCTACCAAAACTGTCATGCTTAAAATTAAAAGAAGTCAAAATCGTATATTTTTCTAGAACTTAAACAATCTAGTTAAAAAATAAACGTTGCACAAGAGATCAAAAGCACCACATTCTGGCAATGTTGGTCTTAGTAACTATACAACTGGCTTCTGGAAAAAAAATTAATCGCCTCTGTTCGGAGTCTACGACGTACATAGCTCTGCAGCCTACTACAATCATTTAGCGACGTACCAGACATTTTATCTACTGGCAATGAGACATCGCACTATGACTTGTACATTTTCAAGACCGGTACGGAATTGCCACTGGCCGATCATTTGCATCTCTTCGGAAACGCCAGGCGGACATGAAAGTTGTCAAACCGGAAATGACGAAACAAAACATGGCTGGTATGAGGATGTAGAAGGACCAGCCTTGGTTATGTTTTTCGTTATTCTCAATCCACCTGAGATCATTAAGGGCCTTGATGTGAAAGACGATCATGCTCACGAAACAGAAAAACGCTGAAAAGACAATGCTAGTAGCATTAGACAAACTGTAATATTTAAAGAATTTAATTGGAAAGATGGACTCGAAAGCGTATTCTGTTGGCTATGCGTACCTGAGATGATGTTTGCCACTGCGGTGCCCAAAAGAATGATGAAAAAGTACTTCTGTCGTAACATGTGAAACATAACGACGACGTAGACAATAACTGCAGAAATCTCTAGAATCAGGGAGACACACATGATGCCTTGTACTCCCCGCAACCATGCTATAAAGTGAAAGGAAATTATATCACTTGTATTATTGCAATCATAGTAAGACTACTATAATATAACTTGTAGAAGAAGGAAGAGAGACACAAGGTCAGGGGTCCTTAGTCAACAAGTTGACGTAGGATCCCTGACAAAGATCATTCGTTTTTTTCGGGCTTGCTTCTCTCATTGAGAAGCACCAATCAAATTGAAGTTTTCATAAGTAGAGGGAAAGGTTAAACAGAAAGGAATCACCTCAAATGCACGTGTTATAAGTTGGTTATCAGTGTGATTGGTTGAGAGATAAGAAAAACAATCAAGATTTGCAATTGTCCCGAAAGACGTCACTTCAGTCAGCCCGTAAAATTTGGAATGAACTTTGTCAGGGGTCCAGCTGCAATGCGTTGACTCAGGACCCCCTGACGTTGCGAGGAGAGAGAGAGTTGTGGGAGAGAATGTGACATTTATATTTTTACTTCCACATTCCAAATACATGTATTTTTAGCTATAATAATTACATAATTCCCAACAAAGTGTTATATTCTGTACGTAAATGTAGATGTGATGATAACTGTAGATAACTATAATTGATAAATTTAATAACTACTCCCTAAATCTATGTTCAGCCATGACCTCCAGCAATTGTTTATAAACTATAGAACAGGACACTACAATGTACGTTGCATATCAAACGATTAAGTTGTTGCTGGCATTACGATGTTTCCATATACTTACTCGGCCAAATCCACTCCCTGATATCATCAAAATCAGATGACAGCATCCATCTGCAACCGTCGTACTGGTTTTGCGTAGGGTCTTTGTAGTAACGCCAGTTCTTGAAGCAGGCTTCCCACAATCCCATGCTGAGGAAACCTTGATTACCACCTTCCAGCCAATTCCCAGTCCCAAAACTCAGAAGAAAGAAGACGATGCCAACAGAACATACCAAGAGAGAAATCAAAACAAGCTTACTGGCCTTATTAGCCATGACGCTATTATTAGACAAGTCAAACGGGATGTAAATACAGGTAGGCCGAGTCCATTTTCACCTCAGCAAGGGATGTTAAAATGAAAGAATAGTTGCACAATCAGTCGTACGTCGGACGGTTTATTATATATAATTAGAAGTCAATGGAGTTGGTTATTTACTAGAAAAGGTTTAAATACCTGTACTTGTCGGCTTTTTATTTTCTTTCTTTCTTTTTTTTTTTAGTAAAAGCAATATTTTGAAATTTTTGAAAAAATACATGTAATTTCTACTTGTTTATAAAATATATCTAGAAAATCAAGGACCATCAGTGCAAGCTAGGTCTGTTTTCATAAAGGTGTTCCAGTAAAAATGTCACTTGTGCCGAATATTCTAATCTTGAACTAAAAATAACAATTTAATCCAATTTCCCTTGAGAACTTTATGCATTTATTTAACGTTATAAGATTTTGATATTGCGATGTATACTCTAGGAATATCTCCTGAACATTGAGAAGCAACATAAGAGGAGACATGAGACACTCTCCCAGCCATCAATGTTTCCAAGACGACCACAAGATAACATGGAAGTATTGAAAGGGTAACAGCCTGTTCAATTTACCTACACAATCGAAAAGTCATAAGATTTAGTACTTATAATACACTTGAAAGCTCGGAGAAATTTTTTATCTGTATTCATTGAAATATCCTAGCTTCTTTAGGTTTTGGTTTCCTCCATACTTGTAGTCAATCGTAATCTAGCATTGTGTAAGAAAGACACAGGGCAGCTGAATAGCTGAGAACGTAAGTAAAAAAAACCCCAAAAGAATAAATATATTTTTGTATTATATTTTATTAAAAATAAAACATCATTCATTGAACGATGATACAAAACTCCAATAAAGATGTGACAATGGCAATATGGTAAAGGATGTAAATTATGCATATTTTGCTATGAAACTACATGTACATGATGTTATGAGATGTTTGAAATTACGTGGTCCGTGTACCTGGCAAAAAGGACAATAACAGTCATAAAATCCTCTATGTTTTATAGTCTACACGTGTAGACTCATTGTGTTGACATATTTTAAAGAAAGAAACTTTGTTATTGACATACATTGTTTTTTTTTCAATTTTTTAAAAGTAAAGTCGTTAAAGGAGCTTAAATTTAAGAAAATTAAAATGTGATCTGACATTCACTCGTTGTTCTCGCTGTTTATAGTAAATATCATTATAAAACGGCATCAGCATCGAAATAAATGTTTGTCCTTTACGTAAGGATAAAATAAAAAAAAAATCAACAATATAAAAAACGAATAAAACTTTTAACATCATTAACTGAAAAAAAATATACACATGTATAATGTATAAAAGATTATTTATCCATCACTTATATGGAGGTGCTATTTTTGTGGATTCAGTAAACAGTTGGTTGCGACCGAAGCATGTGTCCGTCATATGATGGGCGTTCGCCATATTTATCCTCTAGTCTCGCTGTCATGGCGGCAACAAAGCCACACATGGAACCAAACAAGGACAGAAATCCAGAAACCGCTACCATGGCGAATGACCATGATAAAAAGTTCTTTTCTGGATAATATATCCATTTTGCTTCCAATTCCGGTTGGTCGGACTTGACACCAAACAAGATTAAACAAACTGCTGAAATTACACCTGTAAAATAATTGGAATATTAGAATTATCTTTATTTAACATACCACAAGTACATTTCCAAGGCAGGAAATAACGAAATCGATATTTTGGCAATCTAATGATAAATTATAAGCTAAAATTTATAGATAAGTACCCGAAACAAGGATCATGATGGCTATGGATAAGAGTGCGAGGAAACTGGCAGCTCCGGGACACACCCCTAGGAACACCAGCACGCCCATGATCCCTCCCACTAACTGAAGGAGGAGGGAAATCGTCATCAAGACCTGGATAGCAACCAACCACGCTAAAACGACAAAAACCCAGGATCATTCAAAAGGGTTCGTAAAATTAAAAAAAAAAATTAACTTCTAAATATTGCATGTTGTAACTGACAGTAAACAAGAAGGGCATTTATATGTGAAATACATATTAATATAAACTGATTAAGCCATTTTTTCTTTCACCATCGGACTGTCTTTAAAATATGTACAATGTGCACGTGATCTCTTGGCAATAAACTATAATTTGGTGCTGAAAATATGTTTCATGTAATCATATTAAAGGATATGCTTTTAAAGTTTGAAGTCCATAAATTATACCTTAGTTTAGATGTGATCCTTTTATATAGAGAAAATGAATAATGACAAGTCTTTTATAATTATCTAAACACAAACTGCCACAACCTGCTACCTATTTCCAATTCCAGGGACTTATATACTAACGTTAGTATATAGGTCCCTGCTATTTCGGACTAAATACTTTCTTTACTGCTCTATACTTAAATGGATTCAATCATTCTCTGATGGTCGGGCTCTTCTATACTTATGTGGATCCAGTCACTTTTTGAATGGCTCAAACTCATAATACGGTCAGTCTCTCTATACTTACGTGGATTCAGTCACTCTCTAATTCCTTCATACGCATAATACGGTGGGACTCATCTGTACTTCCGTGGATTCAGTAATTCTCTGAGTGACATGTACTCATTTCTCAATACTTACGTGGATTCAGCCATACTATGCATGACTTGGATTCAATCACTTTCTGGTCTATACTCCTCGATACTTACGTGGATTCAGCCACTCTCTGATTGGTTCATACTCGTATGAGAACATCCACCAGCAACCATTATAGAGCTTCCCGTTATAACTTGTCTTATGAGAAAAATCTTTGAAGCAAGCTTCCCATAAGCCCAGCTATAAAAGTAAGAAAAACTATGTTACTCTAGGCAAATGAGAATTAGCGATGTCATAATATTTCAACAAGCTTTATCATGAGATTTTATTTTCACATTACGGTTTTGTCGGTATTATCACCCTTTGAAGTGCTGCAATGCTTGGTAAATGATTTTTCAGGAATTACAACCCATCTTAGAGGAGGAGGTTTTCTCTATATCATTTTACATAAAAAGCGTACGTTAATATACTATTATTACCATATGATCTATGTGTATAATAAATACAAATGTTTTTCCGACTGAGAATACTTAAATGACGAGGAAAAATAAACTTGATTCATGAAAGCCCTGGAGGGTCACGTACCAATCACCTGTGATAACTGGTGAATATTCCATGTTTATGTCATTTGAAATTTACAACTGTCATAAAAAATAATAACTCCTCCCCAAAAACAGAGATGCATTTCATGTTCTATTTTACTGGTATTTCTTTCGAAATAAAATATATCAAAAAATGGTTAACGTTTTAAAAGACTTATAACGACAACAAGCTTATTCCATGATTCAGTCAAATCTAATAACACAGTAACAGTTGTACACCTGAGGCAGACATTTTTGACCCACACAGAAATTAATACCTACGCTTTCAAATCCCGAGGAAGTTCGGTAGTTTTTGTCCGATTCCAACCAAAAATGCGTAGAAAATCCAATCACAAAAAATATTAGTCCAACCACATTAAGAATAAGAGAAAACAATAAAAGACATTTCACTCGGTTCATTATTATGGCGAGGTAAATTATTACTCTATTTTAGGCATATTTTTATGGAAGATTCCATACACTCAGGTGAGAGAGGGATGTGAAGGTTATCAGGTAAAAGAACTCGCGCACGAAATCATTCGATTATACGCTTCTTATTTTTGGACAAAGCCCGTTTTGGAACGGAAATCATGACTTTCGGTAACAAAACGGGCTAAGTCCAGTGTGTTTGAATTGAGTATTTACATGTATTGCATATGCATTGGAAGGCAAAATAAACATGCACTGTTAATTTCTTTATTTCTTTTCAATTTCGTTTAATCGTATTATCTAACGAAACATAACTTTATCCTTGTTTTTTAAAAAGGTACACATGGTGAGTATATATAATGCAAAGAATTTTGTTAATGTAATTTACTCAGAATAGGTATGGAAGAACTACAATTTTTCAGTCTCTTATATGTCAGTAGCATTCAAAATCATTTTGTTCACATTTCAAAGAACATACAATCAGAGTTGTTTATATCTTGTAAAGTTAGTGAATACAGAATTATGTGTACCAGACTTTTCACTTTCCAATGTTTGTCCTAAATATCGAGAAATAACACAGGCAAGGCTTACATACATAAAAATGTATTATAATTTTAATACGGATGACCAACTCTGGAGAGAATTTTTATTTTTGCCCATTATTTGTGCTCGGCTAAGTGTCCGCTATATCCTGGCGTAGATCACAGTCAATTCATACATTGAAAGGTCCATAGAAGGAATACCCAATAAGCACACCAAGAGACAGCGCAACTTAGTTCCTTTATGGTGTCCCTTTATATCTTCAAAATAAAACCCGGCAATCTCTTTTATAGATAATGTCCATAAATCACTATTTAATCAACTGACCATCTACAATCAATGACAGTATGAAAATCAATCCTGTGCCAAAGTTGCAATGGTGTTTGTTTGTTTGTTTGCTGTTTAACGTCCCTCTCGAGAATTTTTCACTCGTTATGGAGACTCTACCACATGCCTGTGGAGGGCTGCAAATTTTGACCTTACTCGGCACTCAGTACACCTACTGCGGAACGGGACCTCGGTTTATACGGTCTCATGCATCTTCACTAGCCAAGGGTTTCTGATCCGCTACTCTCCTAACAAAGCCTTGGTCCATGGTGCTGTCAAAAGACGGGAATGTTTACGTCACGTGATCTCGAATCTTACCACATACGCACAGATTGCGTCATTGACAGATATAAAAAGTTCCAATACAAACATAAAAAGATTTTAGAGAATAATTAACAAGAGGATCTAGCGATGTTTACTTGTTATTTAGGATGCAAATCTACATCTGTAATAAAGATTCCGGGTCACTTTATTTGGACATCAACTTAAGATTGGATGACACTATAACTATTTATAGAATGACATGTTATCTTACATTTGTTTACTTGTGTTTTTCAAGAGTCAAAATATATCCCGAACGTATATAACGTCATTTACAAGAAACAATTGCTGATTGGTCGAACTATTATATTAAGGAAGCTCTATACACTGCACACTAAAGAGTACTATTTGTAGGGTAGTTTTATTGAGTTAGAGTGATATGTTGTAAATTTTGAATTTACTAGGGTGAGGTAAATGCAAAATTTACAACATGATAACTAGTTATCATGTTGTAAATTTTGCATTTACCCCCCCTCCCCCCCCCCCAAGTAAATTCAAAATTTACAACATGATAATGATCTGCCCTTAGAAGAAAAATAGAATAAATGGGAATCTACAGTTAATGTCACAATTTGTTATGAATTAAAGTATTCTTAATGTTATGTTAGACCAAGATTAAGTAATTGAATACATTTTTTCCAAATTAATTTTCCCGATGCAAGTAAACAACAGTGATTTCTGTTCACAGATAGTTCATTGTCTTTGAAGTTTTTTTCTGCAGAAATAGGGCAGGTACCCAGTGTTGTAAATGAACTAGATACACTGAATATGTGCACCTTTATATGATATATTTTTCTCAAAGTCCAAAAAGCATTTTTAATTAGTGTTTAGAGCTTCCTTAATCAACTCCAATCGCAACTCAGGAAAAAATCCAAACTTTTGACAGCACCGTAGGCCAATTAAGGGATTATGAGAAGAGTAGCGGATCAGAAACTCTTGGATAGCGAAGAGGGTCTCATCCGAAGGACCAGTCTCCACGTCCCGCAGTGAATTCACAGACTTAAGTTTAAGACTTGCATTTTATTATTTTTCACAGCTAACAATGCAGTTTGGTTTCAAGGTTACAGGTTGACTTTCGGTGAAACTATTTTAGGAAGCATTGATTGTCTTTATAACTTTACACAACTTATGCATTATACATCACTACTTCTATTTTATGGCTTTTAAAACACGATCATTTAATTTTTTTTTTATAAATATCATGCATGGAAGCTCATAATGTCCCATAATGTCTCAAATGCTGTTTCCTTGCATGTTTAATTCCTTTATTTTATTTTATCATGATATGATTACGTCATAATCCGTCCATGATGATTATGGACAACTTTTTATGTACAGTGCCAACAGAACACGTTTGATCCCTTGCTTTCTGATTTCGTCACATCTCTCCTCGCGCTAATCCCTATAAGTAACTACTCACGACTAAGTCCGACATCATATCTCCAAACCCACCATCAGGACACCATGAAGGTTCTAGTTTCCATCACAGTTTTTGGTCTTCTCGCAGGTATTGCGTATATATTATCCATAATATCAGGCAATGCGCATGTTTATGAACAATACGGCATTTGGATTATTTGGACAAATTTATAATCAAAAGCTTTGTAAAATTGCCATGGCGTTTAATTTCTAAGGTCTCTTTTACAAGAAGAGTTAAAATATCTTAAGGCTCATTCACCATCTGATAAGAGAGATAACTCGCTATGGGATTAATAATTTTTATTCCATTGAAAATTTGTGTCCTGAAGAGGATATTTGTATAATTTTTGCCGAAATTCTTTGCATTTCAGTCATTAATTTATATTTCTTTTGGGAAAATACATTTTTAATAAAAGAAAAGAAAAATGAAATGAGTGAAGAGAGTGACGATGAACCTAAGGTATGACTTAAGTATAAATATTTTACTGAGCGATGGTGCTGGATTTTTCTCTACCCGTCATATTAACTAGAAAACCAACTTTATGCAACAATGTTATATATAATGGAAAATCGAATCACCTGTGTAAATTTTTAATTTTATTAAGAAATTTTGACAGAAAAATGTATAAAAAATTAAAATTTTAAATTAATAAAAAGGAATCCAAATTGAGATAAGCAGCCGTGATGGTGTGTCTGTGTGTGTGGGTGGGTGGGTGGGGGGGGGGGGGTTACATCATCTCGTCTGTTTTACAGGCTCTAATATTCATTGGTGTTAACAGTTTTTTTGTGGAATGGTACGGGGGGAGGGGGGAATAGCTTAGTCGTTGTGTGCGTTTGAAACTTTGACAATACATGTGATCTAGCTATGAACGTTCTTCTTAGCTTGTCTTGTCAAAATATAAAGAAGTAAGTTAATTTTTCCTGTCCAATAAAATTGTGCAAACATTTCAAGAAATATTTCTCCCTTTTTAGCATTTATATCTGGCGAGAGATGTCAAGGGGCAGACGATTGTACTCTGGAGACATGCGCATCCGGATCCTTCATCGGCTGTACACAGGGAATATGCACGTGCCTAACGGAGAGACGTATGTCATCTAAAATTTGTGCACCATTTTTATGGGTCCAAAGTACAATGACCGCGAGTTTCTGTGATCTGATTACTTTAGCGCTTAGATTTATATCTTTGAGATAGTTAGTCATACTCGCAGCTCTAGATACTTTAAAACGATCTACATTCAGTTCCAAAGTCCAAAATATGTTTCCGAAAATACCCCAAAAGATGACTCCTCCCTTATGGTAAAATTCTTTTTATACTTTCTTTGATTTAATAAAAAATTAAATCTGTTTTTCGTTCGTCTTTATTGTCTCTATTTGTTAACATATTTTCAACTCTTCCGTTTTACTATTGGGTCATTTTCTCAAGGAGAGGGCTTTCTCTTCAACCATTCTTTATTTTATTCAGAGGGCTTAAAATAAAGGACCATATATGTCCCTTTAAAGAGGAAAAGTTCGCCAAAAGAGCGGATTTGTTTTAAAATCAAAGTTTCTCCAAAATCAAGGGAAACTAAACAACAAGCTTGTCCATGTATTCACATTTTTTTTTAAAACCCCGGGTCTCTTTTATTCAAAATTTATACTTTCGAATATAGTATAACGTTTGCTGTTATTGGGAATTTAAGAACAATAGCTTCAACGCTGTAAAGAAATTTTTAGCTTGATATGGGACCTCTATTTAAAGCTTTGTTTCTCTAAAAGAGCAAAAAATAACTGAACCTTCCTGTTAAATAGATTAAAAAAATAATGCAAAAATGAATGGTAGGGTATGGTGTGGTATACAAATAAATATTCTTGAACGCTTTGAAGCTGTCTCATTCAATAGGTTTCATTAAAAAGCTACCATTTTGTGTGGGATATATCTGATTACGTACTCAATTTTTCTGCTTATGTTGTCTACAGGTTGTCGTGGACTTCGGGACTGCTATGGACTTCCGGCCTGTGCTGATCAGAACGCTTCCTGGCACTGCTTTGACAACGTCTGCAAGTGCATTGACATCTAACTTGATTGTACATGCTTGTATTGGCACAAATAAACACATGAACAAGGATATTTTTTTTTAATTTTACGTGATAAATTATTAAATAATACATTATTTTCCACTAGGAGGGTATAATTATAAGTTAAAAGAGTTAATTGTAGATAAAGTTTTGGCATACATTTTCTATTCGACTATTAATAACTTGTTATAGATAGAATTCAATGATTTGGAGCACAGGCGCTCTCCAACTTAACTGGTAAAAATATATCTACTATACAATAATGTTTATAGCATAGTAGATATATATTTTTTAACAGCTAAGCTGGGGAGTGCATAAGCTAGGGAGTGCATATGATCAGAAGCACATGTAGTATCCGGGAGGGGGGGGGGGTGTCCCACTTTTTTCCAAACATAAACTTTTTCTATCAATTTAGAATGAAAATGTTAATTGAAAGGTTGGTTGCCCTCCTCCCCTAATTTTCATAATTTCTCATCTTGAGGTATTCATTTTTTTCTTGTAATTTTTGGTGCCCCCTCCCCCAACCACACTTCACCATGAAATAAAATTTCAAGTTAGTACAATTTCCCCCATTTTTAAAATTATTATTATTATTATTGCAGACATAATTTAATCTCAAGTCCTTTATGCTCATGGGCAAAAACGAAGATACGTGAGTCATTTTTTTTATATGTCCAAAGTATAAAGAAGCCAGAATAGAATTTCTTCATAAATTTTTATTATTTGATAAAATTCACATTTTAGATACAAATGTTTTGTTATGGGATATAGATTCATTGAGTGCTGTGGAGAATGAACGTCTTTTCTCTATTGTTCAAACTTTTATTTAACATTCTGGCAGATTCACATGTTAGTATTAGTATTAATATAAATATATTTATTTATATATACATGTATATTATACAAAATTATATCTATGATTCTTTAAAATGCATTGATTTGTAAATTTCACAAATATTGAATATTTTGAATGTACATATTTATCTGTGACCTAATTTAATCTTTGTAATTTACATGTAGGGAGAGGGTGTAATAATTTTTTAGAACCTGCGTCCAATCCCTTTGTAATTAGATTTTTCATGTTTATTTATTTTCGTCAATTATTTTCCCTCCTGCCACCCCCTTTTCAAAAACGATGCTAAATGTGCCTGAACCAGATCAATTTCATAGATAAGTTTTTGTTTGTGTGCTTTTTGTTTTAAATCTCCTATATAGCTTACGGACTGAACATTCTATATGTTTTAATTATGTAAATAATTACTTTAATGACCAGACAATAATTACACAGGCACTTGTTTCTTAATAAAGTTTACCACATGTACCGGCTAAATTTCCATGTCTCATATGCCTATTGTATTTATGTCGTAGATAAACCTTACTGAATCGAGTCATTATGAAGAACAGTGTCATTTGGAAAAATTAAATTTAAAAAAAAACTTGCATGTAAACTCTGCGTAAAAAGTTCCTTTACGCAGAGATGACACGACGCGGATCTAAGAAGTCGGATTTTAATTAGATTGAATCTATAAGTACGCAAAAGCGTAATTTTCCCCGCACTGTAAAAATATATTTAGTGTTTGCGCACGCAACATGGGAAAGTTTCTGCGACCATCGGTTACTATAGTGAAGCAACGCGTTCATTCATGGTCTGCGTGATAATGTATTGATTTTTATGCTAACACGTGCCTCTCAGCTGTTCAGTTGTTAACATACCTCAAAAGAGTCTGCATGGCTTGGCTGAATGTCCAGTGTATAAAGGGAATGAAATTACAAACTAACTAAAATGTCGGTTGGATTTATTGGGGCTGGGCGAATGGCCCAGGCTTTGGGTCGGGGTTTTATATCAAAAGGTAGGTATACGTATTTTTAGTCTTCATAAACGGATGCCCCCCCCCCCCCCCACTTTTTGTTGACAACTATGAATGTGTTGAATCAATATAGAGTTAATGATGATCACTGATGAATACCCTACCTTTTTAAGATGTCCAATAATTTCCAAAACTTATGTTTAATGGCATGAAAATAGCTAGGTTAATTATTAATTTAATGAATTTTTTTGCTTGTGCGTTATTTTTTTAAATTCTTAAATTGTAACCACTCTGGATCCGCCATTGTGCTTTAATTAAACAATAAAACGCTTTGCTTGTCATTAAAATTGCAGAAATGCATGATTAACCCGTGTAAACAAACAAAGATATTTTATTGCATCTGTATAAATTATTCATATCTGTATAAATTATTCATATAAATTATGAGAAAATACGTACAACATATAATATTGTATTATCAATGTTACATTGATATAACAGTTGACCTTTGACATTTCTTTGAAAAACTTCGGTACAGCTAGACTGGATCTAACCAGTTTAAATTAGTTCTAAGTAAAGTGTTTAACATCATGAACAATATTGGCCGGTTTTCATGAAAAATAAAGGAGAAATTTTTCAGTGGATGTATAAATATATGCCAGTAGTATATCAAATAAGAAAACAACATATAATTTGATAATTGAATTTAGAAGCAGAATAAAAATCAATTTACATTTATTTGATTCCAAAAAAAAATATGCATGCACTATAGATACGTGCGTGCAATTTTCAAAACAGATAAACGTACGTGTTTCACGAAATATTGAAAAAAATATAGATAGTATATCTTCATCATGTTTTAGCCAGCGGCGGGTGGGTGGGTGTGACTTGTTAATTTTGACACCGTTGTCTTCTGATCTACCTACATATTGTGGTGAACAATATGCCAAAAATTGTTTAATATATTCTGTAAATTTACTGTGCCGAGATATATACTTTTTAATTATTTGGATTAAAGAAAAAAATCTCAGAAGTTGGATGATGGTGGTAGTGTGTAATATAATTATGATAATTTATCATAAAAACAATACAACACACCATTGATCTTTCTAAATTGTGACCTTGCCAATGCAAAACTCTCGTGGAAGGAAATGACTTTGAGGAAGTATACTGAAAATGACTCATTGCAGAGATTTTCTCGTATATATGCTGTAAATGTAGCGGAAGGCAAGGCGTGGATCTACAAAATGCCAGCTTATGTTAGTAGGCCAAAGACCTACATTTATTTTAACTGGGTCTTAATGGTTAGAGATAAGTCATGGAACAGTGGGGTCATTGACTTGTGTTTCTCAAATCGTCGTCTCATAATAGAAATACTGATTTAGCTGCATGAAAAGTAAATGTGGAAGTTTCGCTGGCTTTGAAATGTTGACTAAATACTGTTACTACACATGTATAGTAATATTATATAAAACCTAGATAAGACACAATGCACATTATATAGATTATGATTGATTGATTGTATGTTGTTTAACGTCCCTCTCGAGAATTTTTCACTCATATGGAAACGCCACCACTTGCCAGTGGAGAGCTGCAAATTTTGTCCTATACTCGGCACTTACGGCCATTGAGCAGTGAGGGATTTTTTCGTGCCAGCACCTACTGCGACACGGGACCTCGGTTTATACGGTCTCATCCGAAGGACCAGTCCCACAGTGGGATTCGAACCCGCGACGTAAGGATCAACTCCTTACTTCGCGACTCTAGAGCAGACGCTCTAACCACTGCGCCACGCGGGCGACATTTAGATTATGAAGAAAAAATGAGAAAATGTACTGACTGAAATAAGACACGATGTTGTGCTTGTTCACATTATTTTAAATTATAAAATTGAATCAATTTGTTTATTCTTACAGATTTACATGTTTCCCCCCTATATAACAGTACATTAAACTTGTATAAAACCAGGTTCGTCACATGACCACAAATTTATAAACGAGCGACGCAATTTCACAGTGACGTCCTAAGTGCTGGAAGTGTTCAACACATTCAATTTATACTGTGTTCAACACATTCAAATTATACTGTTGAGAGTAGAAAATAAATCATTTCATGGGTTAAAAACTATGATAGCAAATAAATGTTATAAACCAATCACAGTCGTAAATAATTGTTATAAATCAGTCACAAATGTAAATGTAAGTAACACAAGCCTTTAGATCGCTTTAATCCGACTTACAAAAAATTTGGGGTATTTTTTTTAACACCCAAATTTTTTTGTAAGTCGGATAAAGAGCCCTCTATACACTGCACACTAAAGAGTTCTGATTTTGTGGTATTTTTATGCAGAAAGAGTGATCTGCCCTTTGATCAAGAAGAAAATAAACTGCAATGTAAAGTTTATTACTTAATTTTTATTAAATTAAGCATTCGTAACACTTCAACAGGCCAAGAGGAATAGATAGAACATTTCATTTGCAGGTATTTTGTCCACTTAAGTAAACAACAGTGATTTCTGTTCATCAGTACTTCATTGTCTTTGAACATTTTTCCTGGGGGTAAATGCAAGGCACACTATGTTGAAAATGTGATAGATAAGCTCAATGCTTATACCTTTACATACTATAATTTTTTCAATGTCCAAAAAATATTTTCCTCTAGCGTATAGAGGGTCCTTAAGCGATCTAAAGGTCTGTGATAAGTAATAAAGTATCATTCTAAAATATTTATCGGAATATAAATAGAGCTACGGGTTGGTACCGTACGACGCGATCAAATTTACCTTAAAGCCTTTCGGTCTTTTATGGTATTTGCTCACGTGACCAACCCGTATTTATTTCCTGATAAATGTTTAAAATTGATACCTTATTTCTTAATAAACAATTACTGAGGAAGCGAATTTCTTCTTAATGTTTCAAACGATGTGTAATAATGCATTAAGAACTGAACGAGGATTAAGTTTAGGGGTTGCTCGGTTTTTCTTGTGTCAGACTCACGGGCCTTGAGATCGCTTTAATCCGACATACAAAAAATAGGGTGTTAAAATATTGCTAAAATCAGTCACAGTCAAAAATAATTGTTATAAATCAGTCAAAAATGTAAAAATAAGTAACAAAATATTTCTTTTAACACCCCGTTTTTTTTTTTTTTTTAAGTCGGATTAAAGTGATCTTAAAGCCTGTGATAAAAATCCTTCCTTGTTTCTAAACTTTATCATAATGACAATATTAGAAATTCATTAAAAACATAAATTATTTATTGGAGAAGTTACGTTGCATTTTTAAAAAAAACATTTGATTTACATGTAGGTATTGTGAAGCCACAGAAGATGATAGCCAGTGACATGTCAGAATCAGTCCTGCAAGACATGAAGGTAATGTCCAATCCAATAGTTTCTCTATAGATAGACTGTAAACCTGCTTTATTTGTTTAATTATGATATTAATTCTTGTCTACTGACATGGCCTTCTCACAATCCTTGTACGTAAAGGTAGTCCCCACCTCCCCTTCTTGAGTACTAGTATTCTCAATTTTAAAACAAAACGTGATTTTATAAATGTGCTTTTTCTCATTTTTTTAGAATTTTCATTTTGAGTGCATAGGAACTAAGTGCTAGAAAATGGGAAAAAATCCAGTAATGAATTTAATTGGGGTTGGGTTTGGGGTGGGCTGTGTGTTCATGTCCACAAGTAGGCATCTCTAACTATAAGAAGGGATAGTCTACAAATGCGCGTTTTTCCTATGGCAGTAATGTAGTTTGAGAACTTTCGATATTTCTGTCAAATGTATCCTTCATGCTGGTTATGCTTTGGGAAAACATTTCATATACATGCGCAATGATATTTTATTTCCATAACAGAAACTGGGTATAATTACCACTACCTGTAACATTGAAGTGGTAGAGAGAAGCGATCTGGTAGTGCTGGCTGTCAAACCTCATACAGTATCCGATGTACTTCAAGAAATCTCGGACTTCTTCACAAACGAGAAGATTTTTGTCTCAATAGCAGCTGGGGTACCTCTTGAGGTCCTTGAGGCGGTGAGAATCAATGAAGTTTTTGTTCAGACTTTAGTTTCAAGAACATTATAATTTATTGACTGGGTTCGAGGGTAACATGCGTTTTGTCGGACCCAAGAACCAAACAGTTTGGTTCGAGGGGTCGACAGAACGCATTTTGCCCTCGAACCCAGTCAATAAATGTTTTGTTATACCTTTTATTTATTTATTTAATTTTTTTTTTGACATACATGTATGTAGAACACCAACGAATGCAAATGAGATTTAGCTGACCCCTCCCATTATGTGACGTAAGCGGTCCAACATATCGACAGGTCCAATATCTCACTCCGCTGTCATACATCGATTTTTTTTTTATGCCCGCTCAGTAAAACTGGAAATGTTAGACTTTTTTTTAGTATTGATTTATATAGGAACATATTTTTAAAGGTATAACAATAGTTTTTTTTTTTTGGTTTTCTTGTATGGAATGCGCCCATAATTCTATTCAGAGGTGTTAATTACATGTACATGTATCGACACGTGACACTCAAAAAAATGTGCACTCCCATTTTTTTTTAGGGCCTCGCTCTGCGGGCGCCCTATACATAGTGATCAGTCTGTCCGTCCGTCTGTCCGCCCGAAATCACTTGTCTGGAGCATATCTTCTCTCTCCTTGGCCCAATCTGGCTCATACTTCACCCACAGAGTGTCTTCGGGTAAAGGGTGTGCAGTGACCTTGAACCATGTTTCTAGGTCTAAGGTCAAGGTCATAGCAGAATTATATGAAAAATCCTTGTCCGGAGCATATCTTCTCTCCTCTTGGTCCAATGTGGCTCATACTTCACTCAAAGAGTGCCACTGGTCAATAAATGTGCAGTGACTTTGAACAAAGTTTCTAGGTCAAGGTAAAAAATAGCCTCTCTGTTTAAATTTTTGTCCGGAGCATATTTTCTCTCTCCTTGGCCCAATCTGGCTCACACTTCACCAACAGAGTGTCTTTGGGTAAAGGGTGTGCAGTGACCTTGAAACATGTTTCTAGGTCTAAGGTTAAGGTCATAGCAAAATTATATGAAAAATCCTTGTCCGGAGCATATCTTCTCTACCATTGGTCCAATGTGGCTCATACTTCACTCACAGAGTGCCACTGGTCAATGGATGTGCAGTGACCTTGAACAAAATTTCTAGGTCAAGGGTCAAGGTCAAAAATAGCCTCTCTGTTTAAAATCTCTGTTCGGTGCATAATTTCTTTCTCTTAATTCCAGTCAGCCTCAAACTTTACCAATTGACTTAGGGTACGGAACATTTGTGATTTTTCTTCCATATTTTGATAGAGGATATGCAACAATTTTCATAGAGGATGTGTAACATTCGTGATTTTTGAGCCGTATTTTGATAGAGGTATGGAGCACTCGTGATTTTCGTGCCATTTTTATTATAACAAGGATGACATAGAAGCCCTTTAGACTCAAACAACACATCCCTTAATAGTACACAAATGTTTCTCTTCAAAATAAACCCTTTTCAGCTACCTTACATTTTTATGTTTGTTGCTGAAAGCGGGGCCCTTTGAGATGGCCACCATCTCAATGATATCTAGTTTATGTTAGTTTGAATCTTTCTCATTATTTATAATCATATCTTTTTATTAGAATCCTTTTCTAACAATTTTCAGAATTTACCGATGGACACACGTGTACTGCGTGCCATGCCGAACACTGCTAGTTTGGTGCATGCGGGAGCTACAGTTATTGCCCCAGGAAAGTCAGTACGCAATGGTGACGCCCCACTAGTACAAAAACTGTTTCAAACAGTGGGGGTGTGTTATGTAGGGACAGAGGACAAACTGGACGCAGTTACTGGGCTCAGCGGAAGTGGACCAGCTTATGTACGTTGTTTTTTCATATTAACGACTGGTCTTTGAGAAATGAATGGAAGATTCTGTTAAATTTAGAACCGTTTGGTATATTGTTTCAGTTGCTTTTCACTGTAGATCCAAAAATTATTGTTTTTTTTTCACTTTTTCATGATATAAATAATCAGCGAATTAATGTTTTAGGCCTTTGCGACCATCGAGTCTCTGGCAGATGGAGGAGTTAAAATGGGACTTCCCCGTGACATGTCTACAAAACTTGCAGCACAGACCTTATTTGTAAGTCTGCCGTCAAACATTATGATATCGTTAAGAAATAATTAAAATTTCTTAAAAACTTCAAACAAAAACTTTCTGCTTTTAGGGTGCTGCAAAGATGGTTCTTGAATCTGAAAAACACCCCGGTCAGCTGAAAGACGAAGTTTGCTCACCAGGGGGCACCACAATTGCAGCCATGCATGAGTTGGAGCGCAGGGGGTTCCGAGGGACCATCATGAACGCTGTCGAAGCATCGGCTCTTAAGGCTAAAGAAATGGGCGAACTCGAACTCCAAAAACATGAGGAATCTCTCGAAACAGAAGAAGAGTTGGAGGAAAGAGAGGTGGAGAAAATCAAAAAGCAAGCCTCCCCCCAATAAGATTGGAACTCATCATCTACCAGGCTATGTTATAGGAGAGATGGCGCCATAGTTACTGAAAATTTCAGCATTCCAAGCCATCAAAAACGGTCTTAGCCCCTGTGATTGTACATACATGACACAGACACATTAACATGCGTTATTGATGTTAGGTTTCGTTGTGCAAAGTACCAACTTAATGCTCTGCAAAAGAAATAAAATTCATTTACTATGTATTGAGACAGAGCATGACCAGTATTTGACTATATACAGATAGTGTATAGATACATGTACAATTTACGTTCTTTTGTACATGTATGTATGTTACCGGTGGTTTTTACTCTTCAGTCGAGTAGCATTGCTAAACTACACGTTCTCATAATATCTTCAAGCAGCGTTATTTAGAATTAATTTAGAATCATCCTAATAGCACTTCTAAGCAGGTTAAACGCTTTTATTTCTTATAAAATTATACCAATGCAATAGAAATAATCTGGTCAAATACTTTTTTGTCTCTAAACTTACACATTTTTACTGTTATTACAATATTTACATTTTATGTTGTGTTAGTGTTCTACTATTGAATTATTTTTATGTTTATTCTGTGTAATATTTATGAATTAAAAGTTTATTTTTAAACTTCAGTGTAAGCCTTTCCAGTCTGATCAGTACACAATCACTTCGGTATGTGTTTCCAAACAAAAAGGTTACGGGAACATCTTTTAAACACATGATGGGAGGGATATTGATGTACGCATAAATATCAAACGGATTATGTAAAAAAGAAACTTAGGGATCCATAGATATATCGACTTCATGAAAAGCATATCGACCGAGCGCGAAGTGCATATTTAATTGCAAGCATTCAAATTAAAGTAGCCTCGATTCATATTGTTAAAGACTAATTTAACTAACCATGATTTAGAAAAAAAATGGCTTGTGAAATTCAATTCTAATAAAACTAAAATATTAATATCGTATAGTAACGGAAATGAAATATTTAAGTTGCACTATGACTTCGTGTTTGACAATCAACGTATTGTCCCTTCTTCTATCTAGTCGCAGTCATCTTGGACTTAACATATTTTCAAATTTAGGGAAATAGACAAATCATATTGATTGTATAATACAAAGTTTTCCAAAGAAATTGCAATCTTCCATAAATTTAAATTGTTGTTGAATCACGGCGATTTCTTGTGCGAATTGCATTTCCGCAAATTTTGGGGGAAATTATCATTTTTTACCTTTTCGCATACATGCAAGTAAGTTATGTTACGTATCCGCAAAATATATTTTATTTTACCTTTAGAAGCATTACCTTTCCGCAATATTTAGTTGTGGTCCCTGATAACATCAACAATAAAATGCAGTACACAAGAGTGACAAAGACAAACCTGACTTTCTGAAAGAATATGCTAAACAGCTAATTCGTAGAATTTGTGTCTCCCGCTTAAGGAAAAAAAGAGGGTGGAAGAACTGAAAAAAAAACAAAACAATATTGCAGATGAAGAAAGAAAAAAGGTTAACCTTGACCTTTCAGCTTTTGGTCTCAAAGTCAACAGGAGTCTTCTTAAAGCTAACGAAATTCATGAAGAAAAGTTACAGTGCAAAACCTTACAGAAAAACTAAAATTATTATCTGAAAACTATGTGTGCAATATGTATTTCTGACCTTAGCATTTTGACCTCAAAATTAATATGGGTTATTTCAAGGCCATTGGGAGAAGTGGTATAAAATTTCATTGCAAAATCTCAAAGGCTGTTTAAGATATAGTTTGGAAAAAATGCTGCACAGATTATATATGAATTTATGACCTTGACTTTTGAGCTCAGTATCGATAGGGTTCTTTTATAGGCCATTGGGATTTGTGACATTAAATTTTATAGAAGAAAGCTCGAAGAAACCTAAACTTATTATCTGGAAAATGTTATTTGCAATGTATGAATTTATGACCTTTGACTTTTAGACCTCCAAAAGGGGTCTTCTTTCGCCCATAAGGAGTTGATATATACATAAATTCATTGCAAAAGCTCAAAGACTTTTAAAGATGTTGTCCGAAAAAGTGTTATACACAAACATTTGTATGAATGACCTTGATCTCTGACCTTTTGACCTCAAAATCGTTAGGGGTCTTCTATACGTCATAAGGAGTTGTGATATAAAATTTTATTGAAGAAAGCTAAAAGAAAGAAAAAAAACTGTAGTTATCATTTGATAAATGTTATTTGTAATGTATGATTTTTTTTTTACCTTTAACCTCTGACCTTTTGATCTCAAAATCAATAGGGGTCTCTTTTAAGCCATAGTGAAATGTGATTAAAAATTTCATTGCAAAAGCTTTTTGAAGATATTGCCCGGAAACGCAAGTGCAACACACAAAGAGAATGAATGAATTTATGACCTTTGACCTTTAGACCTCAAAGTCCATGAATGTCTTCTTAAGGCCATAGGGTTGTGGCATTAAATTTCATTGCAAAAGCTCAAAGCTTCTTGAGATATCGTCCGGAAACGAAAGTGTTGCACACAAACAGAATGAATGAATTTATGATCTTGACCTTTGACCTTTTGACCTTAAAATCAATAGAGGTTTTCATTTTTAGCTCACCTCGACGAAGTCGAGATGAGCTTATGCTATACCCCCGGCGTCGGCGTCCAGGTTAAACTTTTGTGGAGCAGGTCCACTCCAAAGTAACTATAAGCCCTACCTGGACCAAACTTGCATGGATAATGCATCTAGGGATGGACACTACCACACTTGCTTCGGATGCTGGATCTGACCTAGATTTTCCAGATGAATGATCAGATAAAAGTTTTTGGAGCAGGTCCATTCCCAAGTAACTATAAGCCCTACCTGTGCCAAACTTGCATGTATGATGCATATAAGGATGGACACTACCACACTTGCTTCAGATGCTGGATCTGACCTAGATTTTCCAGATGAATGACCAGGTTAAAGTTTTGTGGAGCAGGTCCACTCTCAAGTAACTATAAGCCCTACCTGGACCAAACTTGAATGCATATTGCATCTAGGGACGGACACTACTACACTTCTTCGAATGCTGGATCTGACCTAGATTTTCCAGATGAGTGACCAGGTTAAAGTTTTGTGGAACAGGTCCATTCCCAAGGAACTATAAGCCCTACCTGGACCAAACTTGCATGTACGATGCATCTAGGGATGGAAACTACCACACTTACTTCGGGTGCTGGATTTGACCTAGATTTTCCAGATGGATGACCAGGTTAAAGGTTTTGGAGCAGGTCCATTCCCAGATAACTAAAATCCCTACCTTGACCAAACTTGCATGGATGATGCATCCAGGGATGGACATTACCACACTTGCTTCGGATGCTGGATCTGAGCTAGATTTTCCACATGTAAGATCAAATTTAGATTTTGGAGCAGTCCCGTTCCAAAGTAACTATATGCCCTACCTTGACCAAACTTTCGTGGATGATGCATCTAGGGATGTACACTGACCAACCTGCTTCGGATGCTGGATCTGACCTAGATTTTCCACATGAGTGAATTTTTGCTATATTTTAACCACATTAGCATGAATGATGTATCTAGGGATGGACACTTCCAGACTTGCTTTGGATTCTGAATCTGACCTACATTTTCCAGATGAGTGACCAGGGTAATTTTTTGGAGAAGCTTTATAATATTATGTCCTTTTATGATTAAACTTGCATAGATGGTGCATCTAAGGATGAAAAATTCCAGACTTGCTTTGGATGTTGGAACTCACCACGATTTTCTTGATTACTAAACAGCTTAAAAGTTTTTTGAGCAGGTCTATTTCCAAGTAACTATAAGTCCTACTTAAACCAAACTTGCATAGATATTGATCTTGGGATGTACCCTAACTAGAAAAGAAATATTATGTGAAATTTGCCTTACTTATAGATAACATTCGTCGAGGTGAGCTTCGTTATCTTTGATTACCTATGTTTTCTGTATTTTATGACTTTACTTTTCGGAATCCATTTTCAGTTCATCCACAAATCCATTTAACCCCTCATATGCGTCTTCATATCCATGCATTTTAATGTTCTTGACAGCCATCTTGATTAAATTCTTCTAGCTTTGGGTTGTTTGATCTGTCCAAAGTACATTTCCATATTCATTCCATTTAGCGTAGATCTTTTTCCTGTATCGTCGTATTCAAGAGTAAGTGGCATTCAAGGTTGACTGATCGTCCACTCGCATTCTTCTCCTCTGATGAAATGTTGAAAATGTTTATACCTGATCTATACGCCAAGATGTGACATCAAACACTTTCATTAAAATAAGTGAACTAAAAACCTTTTACTAAAATAAAAAATCTAAATGGAAGTCCAATGATGAAATGGTGGAAAATCAGCCAAACATCCAAATACTTTCAGTTTGGGTAGGCACAAAAAAAGTCATCAGACGTAATTACTGAGGGGCACATCTTTAAGGTAGCTTTGTTTTTTTAATAGTAAATCATATATCGGCATAATTAAGGGGGCAGTAGGGGGCACCCCCTCCACACTTGCCCCCTGCACCCGTTGCTATGGCCATAAACCTTTAACGTCACTTACTCTTGAAACCAACGCTACACAAGATTTACGCACAGCTAGCGGAATGAATATTGAAATGAACTATGGAAAGGTTTGAATAATTGAAATTAAAAAAAAGACGCTCTAGCGCAAATTCATTGCGGTGTAGATGAAATAAAAGTCGTGCAAGAGATTCTTGTGAATGAATTGAAAATGAGTTCCTTAGTTAAGACACGGGTATCATCGATGTCGTGCGGCGATAGACGTAAGCTAATTAAGGTCTTCCGCTCCAGGCGGAAGACCTTCTACTGATTCTGATGGTTAAGATTATTCTTATTATTCTTTTTTTTTTCCTAGACGCCAACTTAGAGACCTCATATCTTGCTCATTTCTCAACGGATTTTGCTCAAGTTTTCAGGGTTTAAAGACGTTACAAAATTTTATCAGAATGCTGTCAAACATTTCAAAAACCCACCTCCGCTTTTGGGTTATCTCCCTTTAAATGAAAATTTAGGAGGCTTCATTTCCAGACAAAGGCTCAGAGACTACAGAAGCTGGAGTAGAAATTCTACCGAATTTAAATAATAGAAGCACTGAAGTTGTGCACATCGGTTTTTGTTTTTCAATTTCTGTATTCCAAATGGCGCTAGAGAGGGGTCAAAAATTAGAACGCCAAAAAGAGCGAAAATTTACACATATTTTCCTTTTTATCTTCTAAACTAAAAATATTTTGATAAAACATGTAGAATAAAAGTTGTGCACAATTTTAAGGCCTTTCATTTGAGACCACTAAAAAGGGTCTGGCCCCTAAAATTAGGGATCTGGGGCCCTTTAAAGTTTTTGATTTATAACTCAAAAACGGTAAATATTTCGAAATAGCTGCCGTAATTAAAGTTGTTATTTAACATCTTATTGATCTCAAGAAAATGATATTTTGTTTGAGTCTTGTGTTCTAAATGAGCTAGAAGCATAACACATATACAAGTAAGTGTTTTCATTCAGCAAGTAAACAAGAGCTCTTCATGTGTGTAATTAAAATAAACTTACTATAAATAATAAACCTTGCTATATTAGATGCTAATATTCTTTAGAATCAGGTTTTTGAAGTATTTTGTGC